CTGAGGACTTACTTTGTGTCAAGCCCTGTTTGCTTCTGAGGATTAAAGAGATGAGTAAGGCACTGTACTTGTCATCAAGAATTTAATTCCCATTAAGACTTTACTATAGGATTCTCACTAGCTAATCCATCTCTCTCAAGCTAATCAATCCTCCTCCTCTGCCCAGCCCATCATTTCTCAGTCTGTCTCTCTCCATCCATCTCTCTTTCCCTCTCTGCCAAGAAAACAACAACACATTAGTCCCACTGCAATTCAAATATGAACCCTGAGCAAACAAGAAGGACATAATCTAAAGTGTTTTTGAGAGACAGGAATCCTGGTAACAAGAAACACTGAGTAAATCCTAAACAGACACATTAGCAACAAAGGAAGTTTGAGATCATCGATGATAAGAAAATCAAATTTAAAGTCAAATAATAAAAGTACTGCAATGAATCTCAGTGGAAATTTCAGATTCTAAAAATCAAAAGGAAACCATTAGAGATGTCATTCTTCTTTCATTCTCTGGACGGGAGATATTCTGGTCCTATTATAAGGAAACTAAAGTGTGCCAGCTTTAATAAATCCATTATCTATCCTGGCTTGCCATTTCTCTGATTTCTTTGTCTTTCTTAGTAAACAACTCAGAACTAAAATATTATGTTCTCCAAGTGTTTATTCATAAATCACCATCCCTGCCTGCCATCACCTACAGGCAAAATAGCCCCCAGTATCATTCTGATCTTACAATCCGATCACAGCTTGTATTGCAACATAATGTAGTTCTCATAAAATCAAAAAGTTTAAAAATTCTTCAAAAACCGTGCCAATGAATTACTCATATCACACATGACAAATACCCAAGAAATGGGTAGTCAAGATGCCAGAGACATAGGTATGTTTCCAAAAAATGTAGGTATGAATATTGGCACAGGTTGCTGATTGGAATCAAATAGACAAGAAGTTGTTGACTGGTTTAGAACAGCCAGAGACATGTCAGTTTGGTTTCAAAGAAATGACAACAATTCAAGGCTTTAAAGATCTCTTCACTTTCTGATTTCAAGGAACAGAGAGGAGACGGAGGTGTGTGGGCACTAGAACAGTAGAGCATCTTGAAGAAGTCAGAAGAAGAAGACAGCAGCCAAGGCTGGAATGAGAAATAAAAGAAGGGGAAAAACAGAAAGGGGAGGAGAACTATGAATTATAAGAAAAAGGGGCCCCAGCCTCCCAGAACATTTGTAGAGTAGAATGGCTATCTGGTAAACCTAGGCCAATGTGACCAGACACAGTCTTGAATAAATGTGCCTGTATGATGATGGCACTAACACAGTAGACACACACTGATCAAGTAGCCCAGAATAATAGATGGCTCCGAAGGTAACATGGGTTAGGACTAGTACTGTTAGTTATCTATTGTTGTATAAAACATGGGGTCTTAAAACACTTCTGATGATCAAACAGTGTCAGTGGGGCAGAAGTCTGGGCAACACTAAACTGGCTGCTCAGCTTTTGTGTGTTTCACAGGCTGTGATCAAAGTGTTAGCTGGGGCTGGTGGCTGCATTCCTGTTTATTTTCTTTTGTTGTTGATACTCACCTGAGGATATATATTTTTTTAAAATGTATTTTTATTGATTTCAGAAGAAAGGAGAGGAAGAGAGAAATAGAAACATCAATGATGAAAATCATTGATCGGTTGCCTCCTGCACACCCACTACTGGGGACCAAGCCTGCCGCAATGCAGGCATGTGCCCTTGACTGGAATTGAACCCGGGACCTTTCAGTCCCTAGTTGATGCTTTATCCACTGAGCCACACCAGCCAGGGCAGGATATATTTTCCCATTGACTTTTAGGGAGAGTGGAAAAGAGAGAGAAACCTCAATGAGATAGAAACACATTGATTTGTTGCCTCCTGCATGAGCCTCAACCAAGGGCCTGGGACTGGGAGAAGCCTGCAACCAAGGCCAATGCTCTATCCACTGAGCCAAACCAACTAGGCTATTAAGCTGAGTGCCTCAGTGCCTTACAGGCATTCGAGACAACCATCCGGCCCTTGCCATGCAGGCTTCTCCAACATGGCAGCTGGCGTCATCAGAGTGTGCCAACCAAGAAGGTATCAGAGGTCTAGCAAGACAGAAGCCACAGTCTTTTGTAGCCTCATCATGGTGAGTTACAACCCACCACTTTTGCCTTATTCTTTTCAGGAGAAATTAGCTTCAGCCCACCTTCGAGAGGGGGTGGGGGAATTATTCAAGGATCCTTGAAGGCCATCTTTGAAAACTGCCTGCCCCAGGCTCTCCTAACAAGATCCTGCATCACCTCAGGAGGAAAGGAAACCCAAGGACAAAAAATGAGATGAATGGTTCTGCCAGGCTGACCTACTGGGGCCTCCAAAGTTGGTTACAGGAAACGAATAAGGGACCCATCTTCTTGCACGTCTCAGCTGAGGACTCATTTATTTCTCCCTCCTGTTCTCTCATTTCATTCTCCAAGCCATCCTGTGAAATACACACCAAAACATGTGTCACGGAGAAAACTGCAGCCAGACAGGCTAGGTCACAAATTTGTGGCGGACAGAGTTTGCATCGCAGTCTATGCAGCTCCAAAACCCATGCTTTTGCCATGGCCCGATGCGCCTCACTGTTGCTGGGATGGGTATTTTTCTTAAATCCCTTGCAACAGCAGAGATCTGTAGGGACCCATCAAGATCAAGTTCTTTGAGCTCTACTAAAATGTAAATACAGAATGCAAACTAAAATGTAGGGTGCAAACTGCCATCCATAGATAGTGTTCTGTAAAGCTCTCTGTTCACTGGATCAACTCAGTCCCGGTACTGACATTCCCCCAGATCAAGCTCCTGGTAGTCAATAGCATTCTGAATGTCATGCATCAGTGCATGATCACTAATAAATCTTATTGATTGGAACAAAGCACTGGTATGCAACGATTCATACTGAAAATGGCCAGAAGACGAGCCGCAGGAAGTGTGGCTCTCCTGAGTGTTTCTTATGCTTACGCAGCTGGGGGTGCCCCGGGAGCTCAGAAAAGTGTCTCCCTGGCAGCCTGATGGATCCACGTGCCCGTGGCTGGTCCAGGAGACAATCTTGTCTCCACCATGTTCCCCAGCGAGACTATCACTCAGCCCCACAGGAAGTGTGACCTCATCCTGCCGCTCAGCCCTGGTTCCGCAGGCTGCTTTTGAACGAAAACAAGAACGGTTCGAAGGCAGACTTTCCCAAGAACTGCCTGCCCTCTGTTCCAGGAAACAGCCAAAGGAACCGGAGGCGGCTGAGGACGAATTCTGCAAACGCCTGCCCTGCACCTGGGCTGTCCGGGCATCACTGAGAAGGAGGGGGGAGGTGGGACTTCCCTTCCTCCAGCGACCTCTGCATCTGTTGACAGTCCTGCATTAGTAGCAGCTGAAGAGCCGCTACGTCCTGGATTTCTCTGCTGATCGTCTGGCTCGGAGGCTTCGTCTCTCAGTAACTATTTTATGTATTATCTGTCAGTCGGAAGGAAAGACAGGGAGCTCCCTTTGGAAAGGACGTGTGTGGGCAAATGACTTCCCCAAACAGATCTGTTGCTTTGAGGGAACTGATAGACAGGAATCTGTTTCTTGAAAAGTTTGAGAGCTGTTGACTGGCGTCTTCTTCCCAGTCACTAACGCTCACTTAACTGTTCACGGGCTGCTGTCCCGGCCACGGGTACTCGCAGGCTATGGCCGCAGGACCTTACTGTCCCTGCAGGTCACGTGAGCTCCGAATTGAACTGAGCGCTTGGGGGAAGCTAACCCAGGGCCATTGGGGTTGGACATGTTCATACAATAGTGATCGAAAGTCAAAGGACCAGCGGCACGCTATTCCATTACCGCGTGACACAGTTCTCTATATTCCAAGCAAGTGAGATCTCTAAATGTGTACTTTGATTTTAAAATCATGCAAGGAGTGCCAGGCAGTCCTCCTGACTTACCTGAAGGTCTGGATAAACCAGGGTCAATGTTTTCAAACAGGTTTTGCATATAATTAATTCCCTGGAAGAATCCCTCTAGAGCTACAGAATTATCGTGGGCCAATGCTGCGTGTCATGGCTGCAAAAACAAGGCATTGCTAAGTTATCACATTTTTTAAATGTGGACGGAGGTGGTGGGTCGGAAAAGCATTCAGTCCTACCTTCGGAAGCTGTCAGGACAGTGATGCCTACACAGTTTAGTAGTTAACAGAAGGGAGATCTACGTGGCGAGTGGGTAAATGGTCATGTTCCCATGCTGGATGCGCTTGGGGACATGTTTAAGTTGTAATTGGCAAATGTGCATAGCATGTTCCTGAGAACCGCGTTTTGAAATCTGCCCAGTGCTGGACTATTTTTAGTGCCGTTCTGCTTCTGGAGCTCAGGAATGTCCAGGCTGATAGCAAGCGCGAAAGACCCCTGACCCTCTCTGCCACTCCTGTCAGCGGGCCAAGGTGCTGGGTGAGGGGCAGACACCCAGCCCGCGCATTATTTGAAACTTGATCATGAGCTGGATGTTTTTTGGATGATGACAGTATAAATGAGATTATTTAGAGGGCTCGAGGAGCATTCTTTTTTGTTGTTGTTCAGATTTTAAAAAACGTATTGTTGATACTATTACAAATGTCCTCCCATGTTCTTAATCAAATAACTCATTTTTATTGTTGTTATTTTGCTGTCAAGTCAACCTTTGCAAGTCTAGCTTTCCCAAAGAAAATGTTGGTCTTATTTACAGGAAAAAACAAACAAACACATACACAATATTTAGATGCGCTGAGCAAGACAATGGGGAATGTAGAGCAGGCAAACCCCGGGGGTCCTTCAATCTGGTCCCCTGCCTCCCACCCCATATCCCTGCCTTATTTCAGCATACAGATTCCACCAGCGCAATTAGTAGATGCCATCTGTTTTGGCATCACTTTGCTATTTTTAATGGATAGTCCACCTTCTTTTTTCCCCCTTTTTTAATGTCTTCTGCAGAAAATCTGTGAAGTCTGAACAAGCAGCCTTCCCAAGATGTACCGCCTCTCTCAGCTGATGTCAACACCGGTGGCAAGTCAATGTGGGCGGATTGCAATATGCAATTATCTTCTGAGTGATGAGACGTCTTTGGGCAATTTCCTTGCTTTGATTTTGCTGATACTCGTACCATTAACCATCTGTCGGGCGCTCGTGCTTCTGAAATGCCAGTGTTCACTTTGGCAATGATTTTGACTTCATCTCTTTCCTTGAGAGAAATGTGATTTTTTTTTTTCCTTTTAGTAGGGAAAAAAAAAAAAGTTACCAGGTTTTTTTTAGGTGCCTGTGCATAAATGTGAAAGGAGATTGTTTATCTGCTACTATTAAGATGCAAAACTGTTTGTCTATTTTAAAAAAAGACAAAAAAAAAAAAACACAAAACACAACCACACTGAATGATTTTGACAACTACTTGAAAATAAGGGCGTAACTAGTTAAAACGGTAGTGGTTTCCAGTTCCTTCCTCTTGTTATTTTCTCCCCAAACCCTGCTTCCAATCCTCCCTCACACACCTACTATTTTCTCTCTTTTTAATTTTATTAACTTTATTGGGGTGATGTTAGTTAATGGGATTGTGTAGGTTTCAAGTGTAAATTTCTGTGATGCATGAGCTGTATATGGCACTGTGTGCCCACCCTCCCACCCCAAATCAAACCTTTTTCCATCACCATATCTTGGTCCCCCTCCACTCCCCATCTCCCCACTCGCTCCCCTCTGGCCACCACCACACGACTGCCTGTGCCCATGAGTTTCAGTCTGAATATATCCCACATACGAGTGAAATCATGGGATTCTTTGCTTTTTCTGGCTGACTTCTTTCACTTAGCATAGTATCCTCAAGGTCCGTACACGTTGTCACAAATAGCAGTATTTTGTCTTTACTGTGACTGAGCAGTATCGTCTATGCACCGCATCTTCCTTTCATAAATCAGCCAGCCCAGCCAAATGTCCCAATTCTTCTCGCCGCTTAGCTATTCGTGGTCAGTAATGGGATCAAGTTTCGCTGAGCCTGTTGAGTAGAGGCGCTCCCAGCATTTCTGCAGAATACCAAAGTCTGTGTTCAGAAAATCGATGAAAGACAACTTTCCCCAATGGAAATCCATCGCCACGCTTTCGCTTAACCTGCAATGAATGGATGGATGCCTTTGCTTCTTTGTTAAGAATACCTCCTACATTAGAAGATCTTTTATATGAAACCAAACTTCATTTTCTTTCCCTCCACCAGTGCCTTTTGCTCATTATTGTATGACTAGAGGCCCGGTGCATGAAATTCGTGCACTTGGTGGGGGGGTGGTCCCTCAGCTGAGCCTGATGTCCGAATGCTGCGGAGGTTGGGAGAGGCTCCCGCCACCACCACTGCACTCACCAGCTATGAGCCCGGCTTCTGGCTTAGTGGTACTCTCCCTGTGGAAGCACACTGACCACCAGGGGGAAGCTCCTGCATTGAGCATCTGCCCCCTGGTGGTCAGTGCGCATCATAGCGACCGGTTGTTCCATCAATTTGCATATTAGCCTTTTATTATATAGGATGGAAGTGCCTTAAAGTGTACTGTTGAGAGAGCTCCATTCCGGAGCAGAGGCCCAATCCTTCGGAAATACTGAGTCCGCTAAAACAACTAGCGCCTGGGGCAGTTGGTTTCGGTGTTCTCCAGCTCCACACAAGATGCTGTCCCCCTGCTTTTCATGGGCCAGTTGGATGCTAATGGCATATTGTTGCCTCATCCTGCCTTGAGGGGCATCTAAAGGCTTGGTGAGCAGGAGAAGGCACAGGAGACAGACGTCCCTACACTATTTTGGCTTCCTGTGGGGACCTGGTGACAGGTTGTGTTAGAGCCCATTCGCTGGACGGCTGCCCCAGCTGGAGTCTCTGCAGAGGCCTGGACATCAGCTATGGGCACCTTCCGATTCGCGCCGCCACTGTTCGCAGCAGCGTGGGTGCTGAGGAGGGTGATAAACGTCTACTTCTCTCTCCTTGGCTTGTGCAGGTTCCTCCGGGTCCGAGAGAGGATCTGCTGGAAAGCTGTCTCCCACGTGCATTTTCCCAAGGTATTCCATGGGGCTCTTTACAAATCAAATTCTTCTCCCGGATGCACTATTTTGTTGTGTTCCTGGTTTAAGAACATGCATTTTAGGTATCGTCCAGTTGGGTATGGGTATATATATCTTTGGTGTCACGCACGTACAAAGTGAAGATTGCCTTGTTCGTTTATCTTATTCTTTGGATTCCACATAAAAGTGAAATCATGGTATTTGCTTTTTTTTCCGGACCGACTTGTTTCACTTAGTGTAGTGCTTTCCAGGTCCATCCATGCTGTCGTAAATGGTAAGATTCCCTTCCTTTTCTTTTTTTTGTGGCCAAGTAACCTTCCATGGCATATATCCTTCTTCCCTCTCTAGCTTTGCCTGTGATTTCCTGGCTGGTGACAGTTCCTTTGACTGCTGCTCCCTAGATCCCCTGACAGGCTCCTACCTGCCCTGTCGCCGAAGTCCCAGACTCCTCACCAATGGCTACTACATTTGGACAGAGGACAGTTTCCTCTGCGACAGAGATGGCAACATCACGCTGAGCCCGTCCCAGACCAGCGTGATGTACAAGGAGAACTCAGTTAGGTAAGTAGGAAATATCAGAAGTCCCATCCGACCATCAATTATTCATTTATTCCTCCATTCATTCACCAGTTCAACGTTCACTTATAAGGAGCCCATTCCTGCTCCAGACTGTGGAAGCACAAAGGCTGACAAGGGGCAGGTAGAGCAGACACATAAATACCAGAAGCAGTGATCTGATGCAGGCGCTGGGTTAGAAGTCTAAGCAGGGAGGGATGAGGGGAACAGAAAGAAGGCCGATTTTATCGGGGGGTGCGGGGAGCAGGTTAAAACAGCCTTCCTACAGATGGTGATGACTGATGAGAGTCTTGAGAGATGCAGGCGTCAATTAAAATAGAAGCGGGGCCAAAACCAGTTTAGCTCAATGAATGGAGCGTCAGTCTACAGACTGAAAGGTCCTAGGTTCGATTCCGGTCAAGGGCATGTACCCTGGTTGTGGGCACATCCCCAGTAGGGGATGTGCCAGAGGCAGCTGATGGATGTTTCTCTCTCATCGATATTTCTAACTCTCTATCCCTTTCTCTCTTCCTCTCTGTAAAAACATCAATAAAATATAAATTTAGAAAAATAGAAGCGGGAAAGGAGACTTCCAAAGAGAGTTCCGAGAGACCCCAAAGCAAAGTGGGGGATGCAAGTAGTGTAGCGTGGTGGGAATTACAGCTCAGGGTCAGAAGGGCTGGTCTGCAGGAGAGAAGATGGGGCGAGGAAGCGGGGGCTGCGTGGAAGGCTCCGTTCCAGGCTAAGGAGAGGAAGAGGAGCCACGTTCAGACTGTCAGGTTTCTCCAGAGCGAGGTAGCCCTGGCTACAAGGTAGAGGATGGATTGTGGGGCACGGGACCTCCTTGTGCCTCACCCAACAGGTCAGAGCATCCTGCCCAGCCCAGAGCTCGCCTCTCTTGCAAACCTGCCCGGACCCCCGATAAGCTGTGGCCCCCTCTGCTCCCACACCCCGTGCTCTTGGCCTGCAGCTCCGGCTCAGCTGTCAGAGCACCCGGCCCTCTGGAGCGCAGTGACAGAGCAGAGAGGACGGAGCTCACCGCCTGGGTCTGCCTCTCAGCTGCGACCTCAGGCCAGTGTCTCAACCTCTTTGTGCTTCGTTTTCTTTTTGTTTTTTGTTAATATATATTCTATTGATTTTTCACATAGAAGAAGAGAGAGGGATAGAGAGTTAGAAACATCGATGAGAGAGAATCATCAATTAGCTGCCTCCTGCACACCCCCCACTGGGGATGTCCCCGCAACCAATGTACATGCCGTTGACCGGAATCGAACCTGGGACCTTTCAGTCTGCAGGCCGATGCTCTATCCACTGAGCCAAACCGGTTTTGGAATGTGCTTCATTTTCTTGATTTGAAAAATGGGGTCCCCACGGTGCCTCCCTGGCAGGACCATTCTGAGGACGGCGTGAGTTACGACACGTCAGCCACCAGGGCAGACGCCTGGCACAGAATGAGCTCCATGAAAGCCTTAGCCGCCGCCTGGCTGCTCTTGTCTTTCTCCCGCACTAGCTTGTATGCTGCTGGCATCCGAGGTTTTGTTCTTTTACTTATTTTATTATTTTTTAATCCTCACCTGAGGATATTTTTCTATTGATTTTTAAGGAGACAGGGAGAGAGAGGGAAAGACAGAGAGAGAAACATCGATGTGAGAGAAACACATGGATTGGTTGCCTCCTGCACGAGACCTGACCAGGGCCTGGAGCTGGGGAGGATCCTGCAACTGAGGTACATGCCCTTGACCAGAACTAAACCCGGGACCCTTTAATCTGCAAGCCAACGCGCTCTCTCCACTGAGCCAAACCTGCCCACGGTTTTGTCTTTCATCTTGGCATCCTTGGCTTTGATCCAAGCACCTGCTGTGGGAGTAAATGAGGGAACAAGTTAACTGAGCGAGCTTCGTGGGCCTGAAGGGGAGAGAGGGGCTCTGTCCTCAAAGCGCTCCCACCAAACCTGGAGTGACGGCTCTTCCTTACCACCATGCTGCTCTCCTCTCTCTCCAGAGTATTTAGAAAGAAAAAGAGAGCCCGCCGCTCCTTGTCCTCTCTCCTCCGCCTCGGGGCCCCTAGATCCTGGCTGCGGGGAAGCATCTTCGGGGATGCCGGCTCGTCCCCGGGCGAGGCCATCTGGCTGGAGGGAGCCGACAGGCTGGACACGCACCCTGGCAGTGATGGTGGTGAGTCTGCCCCTCCCTTCCCTGGGGAGACAGTTCCGAGCGGGCGCCACGATGCCGGGTCCTGGACCAGTGTCAGCTCCAGAGACCACAGCCGTTTGGACAGAGAGGATGGGCCACCCATACAAACATCAACCGCAGCTCTCTCCGCACTACTCATATGACCCAAATACATAGGTGTCCCTCTCCTTCAAGATAGCCTAGAATTTACATGCATAAATTAGCAAGCTGGTTAAACTTGGAACATACATGCACATCTCCAAGGTGTCCTTTCTGCAGGGGGTGTGGGTGGAGGGAGAATGCAGGAGTCAGAGTTCAGGGCCTCGTGGGGGCACCTTGTGATAGTTACTTAACTTGGCCAACTCTCAGTTTTTTTTCATTTTTAAACAAGATATGTATGCATAGTGTGATAAGAATATATTTACCTATTATGCTCTATATCAGCAAATTCCCATTGAAATGTGTATGTATGTATTAGATCTACCATGTGCATGTATTATGTAATGCACATTATATGATACTAGAGGCCCAGTGCATGAAATTCATGCACGGGTGGAGGGGGGGGGTCTTCTCAGCCCGGCTTGTACCCTCTTCATTCCAGGATCCCTCGGGGGATGTCCAACTGCTGGTTGGATTGGGCCTAAACCAGGAGTCGGACATCCCTCTCGCAATGTAAAACTATTGGCTTCTAACTGCTCTCCTGCCTGCCTTCCTGATTGCCCCTAAGCACTCTGTCTGCCAGCCTGGTTGCCCCTAACTGCCCTACCCTGCTGGCCTGGTTGCCCCTAACTGCCCTCCCCTGCCCACCTGGTCACCCCTAACCACCTCTGCCTCGGCCTCCGCCACCATGGCTTTGTCTGGAAGGATGTCCGGAAGGATGTCTGGTCTAATTAGCTTATTATCCTTTTATTATTATAAATTCTTATATGTAAATATGTATGATATGTACATATATGCATATCAAACATAGTAATGTAAACTCAAAGCATATTTTAATATTCAAAGGAACAGTAAAGATCAGGCATAGTTCAATGCTTGATACTCAGGAATTTGTCCTTATAATTACTTTTACTAGTAGGAAAGAAACAATGGGTATTTATTCGGACAGTTACCCAATGTCTCGGGGTAAGCATGGGGAAAAACAGGAATCTGGTGCCTGGAGGAATAGAGTTTGGGAATCACTGTTCCGAAGACAGTGTTTCCCAGATTGGGAATTCTCGTCTCATTTTCCCATGGTTGCATCTTCAAAATATGTCCAAACAACTTTAAAGCAATTGGACCACAGCAGCATTGCGCATGCTTGATGAGAGAACTTGTTAAAAATGCTCAAGGTCTCTGAGTGTCTTCTAAATACTGCGAATCAAACCGCCCCCTCCAAAGCCTGCAATGCCTCAGTCGGGGTCAAAGGGCTTGGAGATCTCTCCCTTCAGCTGCCAACTGTGACCAGCTCTCCCCAGTTTTCTCTTTCCCCGCATTTACCCGAGGCCCCATGATTTTGATCAGCAATTTCCTTTTATCTGGAAATGTAGCCTCCTTAGAAGGACTCAAGAATTTAAAATTGAGTTTGTTTTGCTGTTTTCTCTCTGGGCAATGGATGCAATCAAAACTCACTTCCCCTCATTTTCTCTTGCTTCATTTTTCAGGCTAAAAGAACTTTTTTTTTTTTTTTTTTTGGCTGTTGCCTATTTTGGTGGTCCTCGGTTCACCCCTTTCACAGCTGTGTTGAGACCCATCCCCTCATTAATTGCAATTCATTCTGCAGGCAGCTCCTCGGACCCCAGGTTTGCGGTGGGGGTTGCATTCCTGGAGGAGGCCCCTGAGTCCCCCTGAAATGGGTCAGGCAGGGAGGACCGGTGGGGCCTCCCCACTCTGTGTCTGCCAGTCCTGAGGCAGAATGGCAAGCTGGCCTCGGGCGGGCATCCCAGCTGGAGGCGTGCGGTTCTCTCTGGAGCTCATCATTGCCTCTCCGTGAATATCCTCATGGGAGCTTCTGTGTGTGGCTTTGTTTCCTTCCGTAGCCAACAGCAGTGCCCGCCCTACAGGCAGGGGGATGGAAATGTGCTGGGAAGAAGCAAATCCAGCCTTCTAGACAGAAGAAAACGATGCTGGACTAGCCCGGGAAAGAGGGTATCTTCAAATCTAACACAGGAGAGCTAACCGCCTAAACCAGTGGTCGGCAAACCACGGCTCACGAGCCATATATGGCTCTTTGGCCCCTTGAGTGTGGCTCTTCCACAAAATACCACGTGCAGGGGCACACATACAGTGCGATTGAAGCTTCGTGGCCCATGAGCAGAAGCCGGTTTTCAGTTCTCAAAAGAAATTTCAATTGTTGAACTGTTGATATTTGGTTCTGTTGGCTAATGAGTTGGCTGACCTCTGGCCAAAGGGCAGAGGAAAAATTAAATATCAGTTGGAGGCAAAACATGTGTTTTCAGAGATGAAAAACCCTTGACCATTTTTTTTAATGCTGAGATTTTTTTTTTTTTTTGATTTTTTTTTGGCTTCCCTCCTTAATGCCATCTTTTCTTTTAAAAAATCCTGTGTGGGATTTCCAGGATGCCACGCAGGATGCAGTTTTCTGTGTCACCCAGCTCTCAGGGGCAGTGGCACAGGCTCAGCAGGGCAGCCTGGGCACGAGCGCAGGGCAGTTTTCACTGTCCTGGCAGCCTCACCCACATCCGTCCAGATCTTAATGAGGCTCCACTCGTGACTGTATAATCAGCCTGAGAGCTCCCAGCTCCTCCTCCTGTCTGCCTTAACGTGATCTCTTAGCCTGTCTTCTCATTAAGTGGCTTTGCTGAGGCCTGATGGCTCCATGAAGGACTGTGCGTGTTGAATATACCTAACTCAATGAGCCCAGACATATGCAAACACCCGTGACACCCTCCCCATCAGCAAGGTGACACCCAACACATCAAGGAGTTTTCTCAATTCCCCTGTGGCTTGTTTTGGTTCCTTTGATTTTTGTAGTAAGAACATTCAGTGTAAGAGCCAGCCTGCTGGCAAGTTTTGCGGAGCATAAAACACCGTGTGGCTGGCTGGCTGTAGGCACCATGCCCGGTACCAGCAGATCCCCGGGGTCTTCTCTGGGGACGGCCCTTGTGGGCAGCCTCAGTCCCCCTCCTCCCTCTCTCCCCCCGCTGTTATCTGCACTGAGAGTCACTGAACACGCACACACACGCACACATATGTGCACACACGCATGCACACGTGTGTGCGCACATGCATACGAGCCTCTGCCTTTCCAGGCGGTGACTTTGACTGTGCGCTGACAGATGACTGGGCGTCGGAGCGGCCGGATGCACAGTCCGTGGCAGCCTCCTCCTCCAGCCATGGCACGCCTGAGCCTCCCAGAAAAGACCCCCTCCGTGGGGCCCTGCATCCCCGGGGGAGGGCAGCTGAGCATCTCCGAGGGGGCATTTTGGACCTTTCAAGTGAGTGTTTCCATCTGTGCCTCACCCACATAATCCTTCCTCCAGGCCCGAGAGCAGCGACTGCCACACACTGAGAAGGGGCATCGCCCTGCCTGGGGGGGGAGGGGGGGCTGGGGTGATATCAGCCCCGTGGGACGCGTTCACAGAGGGGGTGACTGACCCCCTTAGAGACATCAGAGGGACTGGATGGGCAGTGTTTTGTTTGTTTGTTTGATTGGTTGGTTGGTTGCTTGTTTAAATGTGTTTTTATTGGTTTCAGAAAGGGAGAGGGAGAAATAGAAACATCAATGATGAGAGAGAATCACTGATCGGCTGCCTCCTGCATGCCCCACACTGGGGCTCTGCTGACACCCTGGGGCTGTGCCTCGACTGGGAATCAAACCCTGACCTCCTGGTTCATAGATCGATGCTTAGCCATTGAGTCACGCTGTCCGGGCTTGTTTGTTTTTTTAAAAAAACCCTGAAGACATTTGGCAAAATGTTAAACTTTATTAAATCTGGGTAGCGCATGCACAGGTGTCCGTTATTCCAGCTTCATACTCTGCTTTGCATTTGACACATTCCGTATGAGGAAAAGAGAAAAGTGTCCTTTCACGCTATGTCCCTGCGAGGAAAAGGCCAAGGACGGAAAGCAGTTGGGGTTTCCTGTGGGAGCCAATCTGGAATAAACCCAGCGAGCGCGTCCTTTCGCCTGTGGTTTGCTAACATCACATCACTCACGTTTGCACATGGTACCACATGGGGCCCAGGTATCCACTTCCCAAGATTCAGCGCCCCGCTCCCCACCTGCCCGCTGGGCCTCAGAGACAGCTCCCCACACCCCCGGCCTCCAAAACTGGGCCTTTTCCTCCTAAAGGGAGAGCATCACAGTCCCACCCGACAGTGACGAACAGCACGCGGGTGGAGCATGGAGCATCCTGTGTCATGTATGCTAACGATCCCACACATGAGGTTTGGCAAACAGGCCGGGGCCTATTTATACTGTCCGCTACATCTCCCCATGGTAACCCTCCAACGGCTCTGATTGCTTTCAGGCGATTAAAACGTCGCTCGGAGCTCTGCTTGGTTCAACCCAGGTTTATCACCGTCTTTCCCACGGTGGCTCAGCAGCAAATGTTTGGTAGATAGCAAAGGGCTTTGCAAGGCCGGGCAGCTCAGGAGAAAGGCTCCGTGTTTTGCCTTTGAGAGACACCCCAGGTGCAAAGTTGCAAATTCTCTTTCCCTTCAGACAGAGCATTGTGTTCTGGCCGGATGGAGTGTTTCAGTCTTGGCTCTGGCCCCTCAGCGCTGTGTGACCTTGGACACATTTCTTCATTCCTCTCGTCCTGGTCTCGTCGTTTTCAGAACGTGGGATACTGGTTCCTCCTCCGGGTTTGCTGGGTTGATTGAAGGAACCGGGGTCCAGAGCTCAGTGGATGACACGGCACTCCCCAGACGTAGACAGCATCGGAGCTAATGTCAATGCTAATATTTGACATTAGCATTTAGTCTACAAACCCTTTCCCCAACGCCAACGAGAAAGGAAGGCCCCCAGTTCCTTATGGGGCATACCGCAGTCATTTATTTTTAATGATAGAAAAAAAATTTTTTTTTATAGCATTTGATGATTTTATCTTGTTGCTTCTGACAAGTTGTTCGGGGTGACTCATCTGAAAACTTGCTTTTTGGCGTGTGGAAGAGAAGTGTTACTCTGATTCCGCTGCTCCAAGATTGTTTTACCAGCGATGACTTCTAATCCATTCATTTCTTTTTTTCCCTGTTAGAAACCAGTTTGTTGGGAGAGATCTCCTTTCAAACCGTTCTGCTTGCTGCGTGCTTGGCCATGTCCGCATGTGCCAGGTAAGTGCCGTCCTGTCTCCACGCGGGGACGATTCCTAATGAATGAAGCTGTCTCCGATGGCTGACTCACTTGCCTTATCCCACAAAGCTTCTGCAGGTAGCTCTGTGGTTGGGGTGTTATCGTTTGTCTGTCCGTGGTAAGCACTCCCTCCTCTTACTATCTCCCAAAGCATACGAAAGCCAGGGCATCTTGCTAGAAACTGGAGGTTACTGTGTATCCTCCTTTGTTTAAACCTCTGGGACTCTTCGTTACAAATTCAGACCAAGGACCTCTGCCTGGAATTCAAGGGCACTTCGGGTTCCCACCAGGGGACTGGGTGCCCTGCTGGGACTCCACCGTTCCCATTGTATTTCTATGTCCTCACACAGTGGTCGGCACACTGCGGCTCTTTGGCCCCTTGAGCGTGGCTCTTCCACAAAATACCACGGCCTGGGCGAGTCTATGTTGAAGATGTGGTGTTAGAAGTTTACGTTTAAAAACTGTGGCTCTCCAAAGAAATGTCAATCGTTGTGCTGTTGCTATTTGGCTCCGTGGACCAATGAGTTTGCCGACCACTGTCTAGCGTAGAGGCTCTGTTCCAGGGATGCCTACGCAGCATCTCGGAGTACAGAACGCCCTTGCCCGATGAAAGGGGGGTTTCTGTTCCACCCGCCATCAAACATGTGCTTCCTGTCCTTTTCTCGCCCGAGGCTCCGGGCCAGTATCACTTCCCTTCTGTGCGGAGCCCACGCGTGCCCCAGTGCCTTTGCACTTGCTGTTTGCTCTGTTGCCTAGTACAGCCTCTCCCCCAAAGCCTCATCGTGTATGTCTTTCCGGGATCTGCTCCAATGTCACATCATCAGAGAGCCCTCCCCTGACCACTCTTGTATCACACAGGCCCCACTTTACGTTTCTTCAGAGCACTTATGAGATGTTCACGTGGGTAAGCGTCAATGAGCTATTTCTCCCACAAGAATGGGAACTCCGTGCCTGCAGCATCCCCAGCTCAGGGGCTCCTCGGTATTTGCTGAATCAGTCCTGGGCTCTCTGAAAGTGTTGCTTGCCCTCACCTCTTGAGGGTCAAATGCCTCATGTCACCTAGGGGAGTTGTGTTTTTAAAAATATATATATTTTATTGATTTTTTACAGAGAGGAAGGGAGAGAGATAGAGAGCGAGAAACGTCGATGAGAGAGAAACATTGACCAGCTGCCTCCTGCACAGCCCCTACCGGGGATGTGCCCACAACCAACGTACATGCCCCTGACCGGAATCGAACCTGGGACCTTTCAGTCCGCAGACTGATGCTCTACCACTGAGTCAAACCGGTTTCGGCTGTTTTTTAGATATAGTATCCTGGATCCCATCCCCTCAGATGCCAATTTAGAGCTAACGAGAATCAATGTTTTAAAATGAGCTTCCCCCAGATAATTACGAGGTTTGAGAAGTATTTTTAGATCACAATGGGACCAAGGAACAAAAAATGGCGGCGGGGGGGGGGGGGGAGGGGGGTAAAGGGGAGAAGGAGGGGGGTGGTGCGGGGGCCACGGTTAAAAATAAACTTGCAAACTCCTGCTTCCTGTGTCACATTGGAGGACCATGAGGTGCCTCAGCATGCTCGGGCCACGGTGAAATAAGGTAGAGAGAGACGGGTTCCGCTTTGTTTACTAGTAACTTGGCATTTCCTGCTTTGTCCCGGAGCCCTTTCCTTTATGTCACAGGACAGTAAACGTAACATTCCTCTCAAGTTAATTTCTATAGCTATGCCTCTTCTTAAGAGGGGAGCTTAGCCCTGGCCGGTGTTGCTCAGTGGATAGAGCGTCGGCCTGCAGACGGAATGGTCCTGGATTGGATTCCGGTCAAGGGCACTACCTTGGTTGCAGGCTTCTCCCTGGCCCGGGCCCTGGTCCAGGGCTTATGGGAGGCAACCAATCAATGTGTTTCTCCTTCCCTCTCTCTTTCACTCTCCCTAAAAGTCAATGGAAAAATACCCTCAGGTGAGCTTAACTCCCCATCCCTTGAGTGTGAGCTGCATTTAGACACTTGCTTCAGGAGGGTTGGTTTTTTTTTGTTTGTTTGTTTGTTATTTTTTATATTTTCCTTCCCTTTTTGTATGTATTTGTAATCTCTTTCAGTAATTCATAGTTTGAGCACAAAAACAAAGAAGACATTATTCTTCAAAAGGAAGCCCCCCCCCGCCCCCACCCTGTGACACAGTGGTTCAGCAGACTGGCCAACCCCCAGATGTCTAACTGGCTTCTGGGGCGGGGCTGGGGAGCAGGAGGCACTTCGAGGTTCTCCCTTGCTTTCCTTCTAGAAGGTTCAGGCTTCTGTGGTTTCTATTTCAGTCTATGACTCATTCTGAGTCAAGGAGCGAACATGTGCAGGCTCATTCTTAGCACGTGGATGTACAGTTGTTTCAACGCCATTGGCTGCTTTTGCAACTCTGCTAGAGATCATTCCGCTGTATGTGTGTGTGTGTGTGTGTGTGTGTGTGTGTGTGTGTGTGTCTTTTTTCTGAGCCGCCTCTCCTCTTCCATTGTCTACATTTCTTTCCTTTTGTCAATGCCGCACTATCTCTATTACTGTAGTTTAAAAGTGTTTTCATTGATTTTAGAAAGAGAGGAAGGAGAAGGAGAGAGAGAGAGAGAGAGAGAGAGAGAGAGAGAGAGAGAGAGACAGAGAGAGAGACAGAGAGAAAGAGAGAGAGAGTCATTGATGGGCTGCCTCCTGCACGCCCCCTACTGGGGATTTAGCTGGCAACCTGGGCATGTGCCCTGAAAGGGATTCAAACCGGAGACCTTTTGGTGCATGAGATAAAGCCCAAACCACTGGGCCACATTGGCTGGGACTCTGTGGTTTCATAATAAATGCTGACTCCGTACATCTGTAGTCAGTCTGAGAGCACCTCTCTCGGGTCAGCAACTCACAGCTACTCTGCTGACCACAGCGTCTTGTTGGTGCAGATGGCTCCTGGGAGGACTGCTGGCCGGCCTCTTCACGTGTTCCTTGACCGTCATGATTGCTTGTAAGTCACCATTTCCCGCATGACAGCTCTGCTTCCCCTACTCCCTTCCAATGTCGGTCATGCTAACGTGTTTTCTCTCTCTCATCCGAGGTGTTGCCAAGTCCCTGCTAGCAGCTCAGCCTCGCCAGCTACTTCTGAGCCGGCCCCCACGCTCGGTGAGTGCAGCCCCTTTACCCTGTCTGCGCGGAGGTGACCATGAGCCGAAATCCCCCATCCGTCCGGCCTGAGTGAGGACGGCAGGGACCGTCCCGGAAGGGCCCTGGCTGCTCATCCTCACAGAGGCTTTCTCTTACCACGAACGTCTGACAGTCTGAGCCTGGCTCTGACGCCTTCCATCACATAGACCGAGTTAATTTTTTAAAAAATATATATTTTATTGATTTTTTACAGAGAGGAAGAGAGAGGGCTAGAGAATTAGAAACACCCATGAGAGAGAAACATCCATCAGCTGCCTCCTGTACACCCCTCCACCCCACTGGGGATGTGCCCGCAACCATGGTACACGCCCTGGACCGGAATGGAACCCGGGACCCTTCAGACCGCAGGCCGACGCTCCATCCACTGAGCCAAACCGGTTTCGGCCCTCGTTCATGTTTAAGGCAGCAGGACTTAGGACGTGGCGTGAGCGTTAATTTTTAAATAGTTCTAAAGGGTTCTGATAGGTCCGTAGCCCCGCACTTTAAAAATACACCCATGCCGAAGCCTTTTTTCTTAGCGTCTCCCCAGTCACTGGCGCCCTGTCTGTGAAATGATCCCGGTGACCATCGCTGACGTCCCTGCCATCCCTCAGGCACGGGGACAATCGCCCTGGCAGCTGGCTGCAGGCTCAGCATCTTCCAAAGGGGGACTGGGCCCAGGGGAGGGGCTTGCAGAATGTCAGACGGCTGTCCCTTGCCAGATGGATGGTGTTAATTACCTTCCCGTCCACGTGCAGCCGGAGGCCAGCTCCCAGGCTGCAGGCCTAGGCCCCGCAATCCAATGAGCCTGCAGGCCTTTGCTTTGCTCTCCGCGCACCCTGCCACCCTGTGTGCGGAGTCTCCCTTAACTCTGTGATCGCAGCGAGGCTGGGCGGAGATTGATTGTGCTGAGAGCTCCAGCCGATATATTGATCTCCTGGCGCTTTAAGCGATGCTTCCCCTGAGCCGCCTGGCATTCCAGGCTTCCGGGTGCAGGTGCTCATATATTAAGGTGACCAGACGCAGTCCCGATTTTTAACAATGTGTCCCACATCCCACGGCGTTTTTTTTTTTTTTTTTTTTTTTTTTTTTTTTTTTTTTAAGTCTATATTTAAATCTATATTTTTTATCGGGACTTTAAAAATATATATATATTTTATTAATTTTTTTACAGAGAGGAAAGGAGAGGAATAGAGAGTTAGAAACATCAATGAGAGAGAATCATCGATCAGCTGCCTCTTGCACACCTCCTACTGGGGATGTGCCCGCAACCAAGGTACATGCTCTTGACCAGAATCGAACCTGGGATCTTTCAGTCCGCAGGCCGACGCTCTATCCACTGAGCCAAATCGGATTTGGTGATCGGGTCTTTTTTAAAAAATGCCTCAGGACTATCCCCATAAAAGCGGGACGTCTGGTCACCTTATCATATATCGTTAAGTTTTGTCTAATCTGATAGAGCACTGGGTCCTGTGGCTGCCGGAGAAGGCCTTGCTCTTCGTCCTGGTAAACGAATGGCATTTGTTTAAAGCTCTCCTAAGGCACCCCCCCCCCCCACACACACACACACACACCTGCTCTGGCTGCGGGTGGCTCTCCTCCTCAAAGGGATCAGCCCCGGGCTGCTTGTGAGCTGTGAGGTCCGTACCTGAGTCAGGACTGGCCTGGCCCCACAGACAGTGCCTGAACGGAAGATTCCCACCCGGGGAGTCATTGCGTAACCATAACCCAGCTTTCAGACCTGAAGACTTTCCTGTCGGTCAGATGGTGCCACCTGCATACCCTCCTCCTCTGGGTTTTAAGGGGAACGTGTACAATGAACTGACCCCCTCTGGAGAGTCGGGGGGCGGGGGGGGGCTGGTATAAAGAGCAGATGCCTGCAACCTGAGGCCAGGCCTCCCAACTCCAAATGCCCAGGGGGAGGGCTCCCCCTCCAGCTGCCTCTCCGGTAACTCCTGGCACATTGACTGCGAACGTGGTGGAAAGATGTTTGTAAGACCGCAGAGCGGCGTCACGGAGCCTCCTCGGTCTGTCTTCAGGACTTGCCTGCTCTGTGTGGCGCTGGACACCCAGTTCCACTCAGCAGACAGACCTCAGTGGTCTCGTTGAGGTCAGACACTGTCGCCAGGCGCCAGGGTTGTGTGCAGGCCTTGAGAATTCAGAGTCCAATGCAGGGTGGGGAACCCCGTTCCAGCCAGGGCCATTTGGCTACTTAGAACATCATTTGGGGGCCATACTAATTTATCAACCTAAAAACTAGCCTGCTCTGTTTGCTCAGACACTTCATTAACTCACCCCTCATGCCTTGGCAGGCCAGACCACACGGTTTCACAGGCCTCATAACGGCCCTCGGGCTGGACGTTCCTCACCCGTGGTAAAAGGACGTGGAAAGGGCACGGTGGAGTCAGAATATGGAAGGTGCAAGCGCAGAGTTAGCATGAGGCTGTGGGAACCCCAGGAGGGAGGCCCCCCCAGATCAGGAAGGGAGGAGAGTAAGGGCAGGAAGGCTTCCGGGAAGAGCCTGTGTCTGACCTGCAGGCATCAGATCACCTCCTGCTCCGAGGACATCTCCTGCTGTTCTGAGCTAACTTGTTCTCTCCTGAAAGTAGTTAGATCAGAACAAGGACGATGATTCCTTCTGAAACACCCTCGTCTCCAGCCTCATTTCCGCAGTGAGAGACCTCCTTTGGTTATCTGTGTGCACATTCTAACTTGTTCTCTCGCTCCCTCTCCACTTCTCCCAACTCCCTGCCCACCAGGTGTCACCCACACACACGCTTGCCTTTAAGACCTATGAGAACAAGGACTTCTGACTTCACTTCTGTATCCGTCTCAACGCCTTGAAAATGGTACATGCGCCATAAATATTCGTCACACCGAAGGTCTTTGCTGCATCATTCCTTAAAGTACTTTATAGCCAGGGCTCTGTGCCGACATGGTATAGATTCTGCAGCCCCCTCCCTCACCCAGAAACCTCTCCCAAAACGAATGAGCCAAAGGCGTGGTTGTTACCATCAGGGGTCAAGAGTGACGCATTAGTCTGTTCCGAGAATCAAGGAGGAGGGTGCGAGGAGGTGGAGGGTGGGCTGGGAACCCAGTTCCGCAGACACTCGATGGAGAAGCCCACCCACTTCCCCTGCACTCTACATGCATCAGATCAGTGTCGATTCTCCAGCACTTTATGCTTTTCAAGTCAAGCCCTTGTCTGACCGTGATGCAATTCTTTCTCAACCAGCTTCTCATCTATATATATATAAAAGCCTAAGCAACTGAATGATTGAATGATTGGTTGACTGGTCACCATGACGCAACCATCAGGGGGCAGACACTCAATGCAGGAGCTGCCCCCTGGTGATCAGTGCACTCCCACAGCAGGAGCACGCTCAGCTGACCAACAGGCGCCAGATGCTGGGCTCAGGGCTGGCAAGCACAGCTGTGGCAGCGCTACTGAGCAGTGGTGGTGGCGGGTGCAGTGGGCTGGGATGAGTGGGAGCAGTGTGGCATTCCTGAGGAGTCCTGGATTACGAGAGGGTGCTGACTAGGCTGAGGGACCCCACTGGTGCACAACTCTAATTTAGTCTGAGTTTGGCCCTGGCCCAGTAGCTCACTTGGTTGGATCATCGTCCCAATAAGCCAAGGCTGCAGGTTCAATCTCTGGTCAGGGTGCATACAAGAGTCAACCAATGCATAAATAATTGGAACCACAAAAGAATAACTCTTTCTCTCTCTTCCTCTCTCTCTCTGAAAAGAAATAAAATAAGAAATAAAGTCTGTGAGTTTGGGGACTGTCTACATTGGCCACCATTGGCCACAGTGCCCCTTTCACATGAAGGTCATCTCAGATACCCCCCATTAGCATCAGCCGTCTGCGTTTTGCCAACTTATGGCTTCAGGGTGGCAAAATAGGTAACCTCTGTTCTCTCTTCGCTTACACGCAGGGAGGCATGTTTATATAGTTGGTGAATGAATGGATCAACTTCAGGGAGTAGAAATATGGGAAAACCCCACTTGGTACCCTAGGGCATTTCAGTTGTAGAAGGGGCAGGGGGAGAAAACAATATGAAGTGGTAGTTACTGGTAACTAAGTAATGAGCCCGTCAGAGGGAAGAAAGAGAACTGAGAGTGCTAAGGCAAAAAACAAAACAAAACAAAACACAGTTGCTGGATGTTGAAGCTCTACTTTCCTAGTTATCATTCAAGCCAGTGTGCCCGGGCGTGCACAGTGATTAGACATCGCGCTTCCTGTGTGTGAGGATGAATTATGCATTTCCTGTTTCCTTTCTCTGATCTAGGTTTGCCAAAATTTGACAACAATTCGGGAGTGCCTGTGATGAATGTCTTCAAGCTGAATATCCGGAAATGGTCCCATTTGCAGTCTGCTTGGAATCAACTGCTTTACTGGAAGGGAGTGAGCGACTGGATACTCATACATTGGGTTATGCGTGTGTTTAAAAAAAAAAAAAAAAAGACCAGTTTAGGCCTCATAAAATTGTACTATGTTTGTGAAAACAATATTAATTCATCTTTCCGTCGCACATACTGGCAGTGGAAAAGGGAAGCACGGGGAAATGTGCTTTACCCGGACATGCCAGCCGGGTAAATATTGTCCGGTTATTCCCTGAGGCCATGGCGCTCACACTTTAATTATCAACAGGGGATTCTACCGGGAGCTTGTAACAATGCAGATTCCTGGGCCTGACCACACGGGCCCGCCCTCTGCTCAGCTGCTTTGTAATTGAATAATGAAAGCGAGTTTATAGAACCAACACCAACATAAATTGACACCAAACTGTAATTAAGTGCAGTTTATACTTAAAATCTCACAAAGAAAATGTCACTATTTTTCCAAAAGGAGTAGCTCAGCATTGGGGGGTGACTGTGGATGATGGTTGATGGAAAAGGGGCAGGACAGAGCCATTTTTTTTGAAAGGTACACTCATCTTTTAATTTAATTTTTATTTTTAATGGAATTTATTGGGGTGACACTGGTTGATAAAATTGTGTAAGTATGAGGGGTGCAATTCTACAATACATCATCTGTATATAACACTGTGTGTTCACCACCCCAAGGTCAAGTTGGAAGGTATATACTTTTTTTGAACTATTTTCTATACCAAGTTTCACCTTTCTTGGGATTCCTGAGAACCTTTCACTAAAATTGCTTTTACAATAAAAACACAGAAAAACTGCTTTCAGGCAAAATAAAGGCCAAACCCCAGAGTGCTTGGGAAGATGAAAAGGCAATGCTGTTGCAAAACCAGTGAGGGGGCTGCCCAGAAGCTCCCTCTCCACCCCCTGCTTGGGGTATGTTCCCAAATGTGTCAGGCAATTCACATGTGTTCTGTATAGTATTCTCTGTGGAGAAACTTATGTGGAGAAATTTGTCTTTGCTTAAAATGGTAATGTCAAAATATCACTGTTATGTCATTTGTATTCGGTGGATCCGGGGTTGAAAAATCCTATATAATAAAGAGGTAATATGCAAATTGACCCTCACACCTTCACGTCAAAAGATGACTCTCCCAACATTATCACAAGATGGCCGACCCATGTCATCACAAGATGGCCAGCAGGGGAGGGCAGTTGAGAGTGATTGGGCTGACAGGGGAGCAGTTAGTTAGGTGTCAATCAAGCCAACAGTGGAGCAGTTAGGGGGCGAACAGGCTGGCATGCAGAGTGGTTAGGGGCAATCAGGCAGCCCTCCTGCACTCTGTAACCATGCCATTGGCCACACAGGTCTCCAAACCCACCTGCTCACCTGCCTCAGGCAGGGAGTGACTGTCCCTTTTCTCATCCACCAGGAGTGAGGCTCAGTCACCTGGCCCACCTACCTGCGGGGGCTGGGGAAGGCAGGGAAGCAGGTGGGTCTCCCTGAGCTCCAGCAGCCTCTGCCACGCCCTCACTTTGAAGATGAAGAAGGTGCATCTCAGAGAGATCGCTTCGCCTGCACACACCCCTGTCATCAAGCCTCCTGGGTTGCTTCCTGCATCCTCACCCCAGCCCGCAATGCTTCCCCAAGTAAAATCTATTGTGGTAACTTCAAAAACAACTCAGATCCAGAATAATCCACCTGTGTGACAGGGGATGCCAGTCTTCCACAGCCCGCTATTGCTCACACAACACAGCAGAGCAGACACCTGCCAGCTTGGCACGCTTGGCATCCGTGCCACAGACCCCTACCAGGCCTCGAGGAAGGTCTGATCATGTATTTTTTAAAAGTCTAGCCTGCTGCGAGGCTGTGTCCCCTCCATCTGTCCCACGCTGGGCGACATCGGCTCCAGCTGCCGCTGTGCCTGCGAGCATGCCTGCTGGTGCCTTGGGGGTGCGGGCAGGTTAGCAGGTGGAAGCCCAACTCTGGCCTCCGCCTGCAAAAACCTCCGGGTCCTTCTGTAGCCACAACAGAATAAAAATGAAGGGAAGGAAACGCAGGGTGGGGTGGGTGAAAACCAAGATTTATTTTCAATGAAAAAAAAAGTCATTTTGCAGTTCTGGCTCTGCTAGGAGCTGAGAGCCCAAACTCAGTGCCAGCGGCTCCATCTTTTTCTCCTTTTTTTTTTTTTTTTTTTTTTTTTTTTTTAGTAAAAGGAAAAATTTAGGTCCACACTCCAGAGCCTTCTACGTTCCTCATCTTCCTTGATTTTTCCCAGGTGGTCACATCCTTTGAATGTTAGCACAACAGTGGCCTGGGGCTGTGTCTCTAAGCCTCAACTTCCTCATCCATAAAATGGGAGCATCCTTATGAGTATTGAGTCCACACAGCAAACTACTGAGAGCTTAGCACAGTGCTAGACTCAGGGTGAGCGCTTCCGAGAGGGTAGCTGCCATATTGCCATTGTTAGTAGCAGCGGTGGTGCTGGTGGTGACATTGGTGGTGGTGGAAGCCGTTTTCCTGGTTTCGGGGACCATGCGGATTTCTGGCTTCTGGTGAGATGGCAGAAGGAAGAGACAAGATGAAGGCAGAGGCTTGGCCAAGGCCATGTCCGTCCCGCTGGGCAGATCCCTCCTCCGCTGCTGCACTCGAGGCAGAGTGGAGTCAGATCACGAGGCTTTGGATTTAGACAGACACAGGTCTGACTTGGCTGCCCGGCCACATGGAGCTCCGTGATATGGGGCCTACCACCCAGCTCCTTTGAACCTCAGAAGTCCATGTCTTGCGATACTTTCCAGAGGGGAGTGTCTCCTTGTTGTCATGGAGAAGGTCAAAGATGACAGAGTGAGCAGACACAGTGGCATGAGAAAGGATTCACTTTAAAAATGAGCATACTGCCCGGCCAGTGTGGCTCAGTGGTTGACAGTGGACCTATGAACCAGGAGGTCATTTGGGTTCCTGGTCAGGGCACATGCCAGGGTTGCGATCCCCAGGAGGGCGCAAGCAGGAGGCACTTGATCAATGATTCTCTCTCATCATTGATGTTTCTCTCTCTTTCTCTCCCTTCCTCTTTGAAATCAATAAGTATATATTTTAAAATAATCATAATAAATAAAATAAAATAAAATAAAAATGATCAGTTTGACTTTCAAGATTTTAAGTGATTCACCATTATTTTACTTAAATAAACAATAAGAAAATTCAAATAAGCAAAAGAGGGGGGAAAATGACCCAGGATCCCTCAATTCGGAGTCAGCCCTGCCAACCTCTTGATGTTTATCCAAGAAAACTGTCTCCATGGTTGCCAGGTTGAGGAGATATGAAAGCAGGCCACCCAGTGAGGACTTTGGACACGGATGCAGCCACCATCTGGGGCCAGTCGTGTGGCCATTGCCCCGCTGGAGGCAGAGGGCTCTGCAGGCCACGGGCCCAGCCCCCTGCTGGGCCCGGTTACAAGGGCAGCGCCACCAGCTGTCGCCCTGGAGGAAAGTCCTCTTACTCCCCATCCCCAATGTGGTCAACATGGCACACGAGTGAGTTTTAAAGAAGACCCTTTATCAGAAGGGAGGCAGGTCACAAACCCAAGTCGGGCATGTCCGTCTCCTTGTCCAGTAACCAAAGCCCTTAAAATCCGACTTTCCTCTAAGCTGCAGGGGGAGGCCATGGATTCCAGAAGAACTGGCAGGGAACGGCCACTCTTGGCCCTTGGACCTGCGGTGCCCTGACAGCTCGGTGACAGGGAAGGTGAAATCGCTTTCAGCAGCTGCCTCCAAACTTGATTGATGTGACAAAGTCTTCCCACAAAGCACATAAATCAAAGCAGATGACTGACAGCGGAGTAAACACCTTAGAACTAGAGTAATTAGGAATATATTAGCAATTAAAATAAACTTATTATCATTAGCAAAATTGGCAGCTACTTGCAATTCCCCAGGGGCCTCCTTTCAAGTTTACCCTGGTAGATTATATTAAGGCAAGATTAATGTTTTTGTAGATACAGTTTTCATTTGTCTCAATTATTCCTCAGAGTGCCTGGTGTATGGGAAGACATTTGATAAATATTTGCAGAAGGAAGGAAAGAAGGAAGGAAGGGGGAAAGTAGAAAGGAAGGTGGAAGGAAGGGAGGGAGGGATTAAACAAGAAATAAACTGAAAGTCTAGAGGTGCCAGTCAACACGGGAGCTTGAGGACCTGCCATGAGGTTGCAGTGAAGAGACTGCTGAAGGAAAATTAATGGGATACAATGGAATTGTAACCATAGTGCTAACCACTCCTCATAAAAATGTTAAGTTATATATAGTAACGAAGAGAACAAGAACCAAACAGCTTTCTAGGCCCATGTCCCTGGAGTTAATCCAGCACAGAAGGAGGAGGAAGGAGACTTTGCTCTTCCTGGAAATGCCGAAGGCCCTCTTCCGGATTTCCTGCTCCTGCATGCACGCACAGACACGTGGTGGCAGTTCCCTCAGGAAGCACCACGCATCTTGTTTTATTTCCAGGAGCCAAAGAAGTGAGTCTATTTTGAGTAATGATTTGCATGAACAGACACACCGGCCTCTTTACTCCGTCTCAGCCAGTTTGAGGGAAATGAGCTCAGCTTGACGGGGAGCTGTCACGTTGTGTGATTGATTGCCCAATTTCCCTTCCTGTCCCTGGACTGGAGCGACCACAGCTCATCGGTAAGCCTGTCCGTCATGCCTCATGGGTGCTCTGCTGCTGAGAAACACCGTGATGTGGGTTGGAGGAGGGCACGGCATAACCAGCCGGCCTGGCTTGTGACACATGATTACGCAGGTTCCTGCTTTCCCTGATTCATCATCCGGGGCTCCTCTTCGTCCCACCAGGGGGCGGGATCCCCCTGTCCAGACCCTGTTCCTGGAAGGCGTTCTTATCCTAGATTTGGTGCAAAGGTCCCAAAGACACGGATGTGTCTGATGCCCAGAGGTCGGGGCACCCTTCCAGGGTAGCCTGCTCCATTTCCCTAAACAATGGACACCTTTGTGATGTTCCCGCTGAAGTCATGAGGCGTGGTCCTCTCCCAGGACAGCCACCATCCAGGAGAGACTGACTCACCGACTGGTGCATTCAATCACCCAGCTAGCAGGTACTGCGCACCTGGTGAGTGTCCGGAATTGTGCTGAGAGCTCGGATCCAGAGATGAAAGACAAACTCCCTTCTGCCCTTATGTAGCTTTCAGCCTGGAAAATGATGTAGTTTTGATGTCTGTGAAGCCACAAAAGCCTGGATCCACTAGCCTACTTATATACTCTCACTGGGCCTCAGTTTCCCTATCTGTAACATGCAGGGGATAACCTTGCCCAAAGCCAAGGGCTGCTGTGAGAATTAATTAGCACCTCAAAGCATTGGGCAGCGTTCTGAGCACATATGCAGAGTGATAGCCCCACTGCTTCACATGTGCAGGGACCAATAGAAGATCCCGGCTTCAGAGACGTTACATTTTGTAGGAAGGATTCAAGGCCCCTCGGACCACTGCAGAGTGTAAGAGAGAGGTTGAGAGTTCAAAAGTGAGTTTGTCTGAAGGCGAGGATAGAAGCTCAGAGTCAATACACCAGTCACCTGGGCTGCAATTGCTTTTGAGAACTTTCTAGAGTCATAGACTGTCTCCCTGTTTGGATCCCAGACACTGAGGTCCTTTATGCTGGACCTCACTTCATGCCTTTGTCATCTTAGAAACCACCTTCTTATCTGGATCCCCGCTAGTGCCAGCTTCCTGCCAGAAGCCAGGTTTCAGCCTTGATAAACCCTCACTGTCAACATGCTCAAGTTCATGGTGGGCCATCTCCTAGCACACACACCTGCCAGGGGCTCGGCCACACATGATCATGTGGAAACGGGTAAGCGTTAGCCTCATCACCTGTCGGATGCCACGCAAAGGCCACGCAATAATAAATCTGTGGATTGGTGAACTGGCTCCCCAAAGCCAGAGGTCAGACTCTTCACCCCACACCACCCTCCTTCCAACACGTGGTGAAATGACGGTGGATATCCCCTCAATTTATAGTTTGAGTGGCTTTGAGCATCTCCTTAGAATTCCACTGAAACTCCACTATTCCGGTTCCGTTCCTTTGGCCTGGCATCTAACACCTCCACCATCCGGATTAATTCCTCAGGTTCACTGTCCCAGAAGCCCTGCTCTGCAGGCATCTCCACTGCCTCCCTGATCAGTCCCTACACCATCACCAACCCTGATTTGGCTTTCCTGCCGCTCCGACTCCATCCATGTGCTCACCTCCATCCTACAAACCCGAATCACTGCCCACCACGAGCCGCGAACACTCAGCAGTGCTCCGTGGATCTTCTCTGAAAATGCAAGCATCCTACACAGATCAAGACGGGACTACGACTGGGCTGGGAGGGGCTTCTGTTTTCATCTTTTACATACTGCCTCTTTGTGGTTGTTGCAAATGGGATCGAGGGGGGTCATTTTCTAATAATTACACATTAAACATAAGACAACTTTGGGGGGCGTAAGACATCCAGACATCTGAGGGCGAATGAGCGTCCCTGGTCCAAAATGGGGGGACCGTGTATGGGGCACCTTGGGAGAGAGGCCTGGGTTCCTGGGAGGTGAGTGCGAGGCCACGGCATGTAGACTTCCTACCCTTTACCATTGAGACAGTGGCGCCTGGGGAGAGTAGACAGAGGGGTAGGTGTTTTATTTTTTAACTTATTTTTTAAAAATCTTTATTGTTGAAAGTATTACTTATGTCACTCTTCCTGTCCCCTCTCATTGACCTCTTCTAGCCCACCCCTGCCCCCTGCCCCAGGCCTTCATAGCGGGTGGTGTTTTTAGAAAACTTTTTAGTAGGAAACTGACTGGTGTTGGGCTGTGACTTTAAAGAGACGACAAGGAACCTTCATACTGAGCCGCCGCTTTTACCAAGTGTCTGTCATTCACTCCCATCATCTCCTTCAAGCTTCCCGGGGACCCTTGCGGTCATTATCATTATTCATCTTACAACAGGGAGAAACTGAGGCTCAGGAAGCTTAAGGGCACACCGCTAGTATGTGGAGTGGAGGCCAAATCCAGATGGCCTGGCTATGGGAGGTGTGAGAGAGAAAATACAAAAAGATGAGAAGGTTGGGGCAGGCCCGGAGGCACGCCCAGCAGGCGGATCTCACCAGGAACTGAGGGTCCCGGTGGTTCTGGGTGGATCTGGCCAGAGCTCCGTGGAAAGGGGATCAGCCTGTGGCAGGTGGAGGGCCGGGACGGGGAAGAGGCGAGGTTTGGGGTTGGGACAGCCCCGGAGCCCCTCCACCCCGATCTCACCGCTCTGCTCCGTCCTCGTTCAGGAAACGCGGCGCCGCCTGGCCCCGCGCGGCCCCCGTAGCGTCCCCGTTGCCATGGTTCCCAGGGCAGCCTTGGACGCGCGGAGCCGCTACCGGGGAGCCTGAGGGGAGTCCGCGGGACTCGGGGTCCCGCATCGGGGCCCACGAACCCGCAGAGGCGCCATGGGCCGGAGTAAGCGCCCCTTCCTCTCGCACCTGTCGCTCTCGACCGTCCCCTCTCCTGGCATCGGCCCGGAGCCACTGGGATCCTCGGCGCCAGCTTCGGGCAACCGCTGCCCCTTCCCGGCCGCAGACCGAGCCCAGCTCTGCAAACCCCGGCCCTTCGCCCTGGGCAGACCCAGCGGTGCCAGGCCCCCCTCCGCCCCGCGCCGCCTGGCAGCCTGCCTTTGAGGGGCTGGGGTCCTCCTCTGTCAAATGGGGTGGGCGAGAGGCTCAGTTGAAGTGCAGGGTCGGACACACCGGGCCGATGTGTGTATTTTATTGATTTTTATAGAGAGGAAGGGAGAGGGATAGAGAGTTAGAAACATCGATGAGAGAGACACATCGATGATCAGCTACCTCTGGCACACCCCTACTGGGGATATGCCCAAAACCAAGATACATGCCCTTGACTGGAATCGAACCTGGGACCCTTGTGTCTGCAGGCCTATGCTCTATCCACTGAGCCACACCGGTTAGGGCATTGGTCGATTCTTGTATGTACCCTGATGGTGATGAAACCCACCACCTTTGCTTATGCGGACGATGCTCTAACCAACTGAGGGACTCAACCAGGGCTCGGATTAATAATTTTTAACGGGGGTTCTGTCAATGTCTACTCGATTTTGGTGTATCCTATGAAGATGACCTATGTGTTGTCCTTGGTTTGAGCTGTGGACCCCAGGGTCCTGTCTCCAGCCCCTTGGTGCCACCGTCCGGCCAGCGCGGTGCTACACAGCCCCGCGCAGGAGACTCCTGTCACCCCGCTTCCTCTGAGCGGCTCCAGTCATTCCTCAGGAAACAGACCGTGCGGCAGTTGCTTTATAAGACTGCGATGCGAACTCTGGGGTCCCTCTCTCCTCTGCAGCCTTCGTTACACTCATGCTGACCAGCGAGTGAATAAATGGCTGCACCTCTCCTCACTGCTGCCTCTGTCAGCCCCACATGCCTCTCAGGAGCAAGTTGCTCTGTCTTGGTTTACCTCCACCGTCTCACCCAGTTTGACCACGAGTTGCCATGCCAACATGCCCACAGTCCTCACCCATCTACTCTGTCTCCATCCATATTGCAAAATGTGTGTAGCCCAGCTGGCATGGCTCAGTGGTTGAGCATCAATCTATGAACCAGGAGGTCGTGGTTGGATTCCTGGTCTGGGCACATACTGGAGTTGGGGGTTCGATCCCCAGTGTGGGCATATAGGAGGCAGCCAATCAATGATTCTCTCCCATCATTGATGTTTCTATCTCTCTCCCTCTCCTTCCTCTCTGAAGTCAATTATATATATATATATATATATATATATATATATATATATATATATATATATATATATATTTTTTTTTTTTTTTTTTAATGTGTGTAAACCCTGCTCAAAAGAGACAAAAACTATGTTGTCATGACCCTTCCCTCTGACCCATGGTGGGTCAGAACCTCCAGCAGGGGCAGCACTGCTCCAAGCTCTTAGATTGAACTGCAAAGAGAGACCCAAGTGGCAGTCATGTCATAACCCATGATGAACACGAGGGCAGATGTGTGACCTGTGACAAATGTCCTTGCAGTCACAGAAGACCTCATCCGACGGAATGCCGAGCACAATGAGTGTGTGATTTTCTCCCTGGAGGAGCTCTCCTTGCATCAGCAGGAAATAGAAAGGCTGGAGCACATTGACAAATGGTGCCGAGACTTAAAGATCCTCTACCTTCAAAACAACCTCATCGGGAAGATCGGTAAGTTTCCGGGACTTGATTCTCCTGGTTTCTTGAGCCCCCGGAGTGGGATGGGAGAACTGTGGATGAGACAGTGCTACCCTGAGGAGGAAGGCAGCCGCTAAGAAAGGATTTCATGGGGGATGGACACAGCCATAGCAGCCAGCGGTCACGAGTGGTGTAAGGGCGGTGTGAGAGCTTGCTCAGAGCCTGTGCTCACCGGGCAGGTGACACCTGCTGCCAGGATTCGTACTGTCACGTACCCAGGGTGCCCGGGCCAGCGCAGGAAGGTTGGAGCAGAAGGGAAGACCAGCCAGAGCTGGAGGGCAAAGGCTGGAGTCGGGGTTGGTGAGGCAGAGTGAGCACCAACGCCTGTGCGGCTGGCCTGGAGCCAGAGGTCAGCCCTTAGGTGAGGTTTTCACGCTTCTTGGCGATGTGCAAGTGCCCTCCGCAAGGGCGTTGGGCCAAGGCTGCAGACATTTGTGGTTGTTGCCAGTGTGCGTGGGTGTGGGGGGTGTTCAGGGCCCAGGGATGCTACTCACCTTCCCAGAGTGGCAGCCTCACAGGAGAAGTTCCCAGGCGTGTGTGTGTGTGTGTGTGTGTGTGTGTGTGTGTGCACTCGGGGCCAGAGAACTGGGGTGTGCTTGCCTCTGGTTGGCTGGGTAATTCCCAGTTGGCTCTCAATGTGCAAAGACCTAGGATTTGCATCATCTTTTTGACGCTGTATTAGAATCCTTTCTATTTCTTCAGAACGTGATTTCCAGCATCTCTGATTTTTCCAGAAACGGGAAACTTAGCCCGCTGCCCAATGAAGAGGCTGTTCTGACAGCCAGCAGCTCTCACGCATGCGGCACTGAAGGGCCCTCCTGACCAGCAGTTCTGACAGAGGCCCTGCATTGCCGTCTGCACAGCTGGCCCCTCACAATGGCGGACGAGAGCATAGATTTCAGTCCTTTTCAGAGCTGCGAGAAGGCTTACATTTTTGGCTTCCGAAGTAGTCTGAAATGAAACAGCCTTTTGCATATTGTTGATGGGGGTTTTCGGAGGCAGCCAGGCACGCCTTCAGCTGGGAAAAGGACCTCTCTTGGATTCTGTCGCTCCTGTGCCCTGGGGATGGAAGTTCGTCTGAGCTCCTGAGCTCTGTCCCTCACTAGAGATGCAGTTGGGAAGGCTCTGCTTTGTTGTCGGTCCAGCTGTGAGCTGAGGGATCCTGTTAAAATGGAGCCCAGAATCTGGGGGGAGGGCTCCCAGAATCTGCGTTTGTAATGACTTTCCCATGAGCCTCAGGCCTGGGCCACGTTGGGAGCCCAGAGCTGCTTGAATTGGGGCGGGATGGGGCTGGTCATGGCGGCTGGTGGCAGCTTCCTCCAGGATGGCTTGAGCGAGGATGCTCAGACTCCTCCGTGCCACCCTGGAGGCTCTAGGCACTTTTACTTATGAGCCTCTCTCTCCCTGACCCCCTTGCCCATTGGTCCCCGAAGGCCTTGGGCACATCCTTCCCCAACACATCTGACCTACATGTTTTCTGCCAGATGATGCTTTTAGAATTGAAGAGGTAACATATCTAACACATGTGGGAAGGAGGAGGTATTTGGTTGCGGGCTGGCAATTTCATGTGTTAACTTCAGGTGCTTCTGTTTGGGACGCAGAGTGGACACTCTTATCTGTCAAAACACTCATCACGTGGCGCTCTGCATGTCCTTTGAGTCTCAAATGCTCAACCATCGGTACGGTTTAGGGTAACGGAACTGCTGAGAGCACTTGAGTAATTTTTTCTGAAGTTCTCATTTTTAAAAATGAGTCAACTGCAGAGGTGGAAACTGTTATCCTTGGGTCTATGATCACATAGATGATATTGCGTAAATTTTAAAATGAAATGGGATGATAAGGGTGATAGTTATAAGTCATCATATTTGATCTTTTCCTGCCTGCCCCCGAAACACGGGCGGAGGAAGCAGTCCCTAAGCGGGGCTGCCCAACCACACGCTCCTCTGTGGGGGATTGACATTCGTGGGGTCTGAGAAAGAACTGTTCTCTCAAGGTGCAGGGAGTGCAGTGACTCACCGCCAAGCTCTGGGGAAGGATTGCCTGGCTCCGCCCCCTGACTCCAGACATGTAGATGAGGCTTCACCCCTAGGTATTCTCCTTTAAAAACAGGGTTTTCACCTCGCAGAGTTATTTTGAGGATCAGCGACATCATGTATACAGCATGCTCAGAAAATCACGTGGCATGTGATAAGCACTCAGCAGTGCTAGCCAAGGTGTTGTTAGCTGCTTTCCAAGGCCATTGACTTCTTGACTTACTCATGGTGGTTGCTTTGCCTACATAGGCTTTCTTTCTTTCCTTTAAAATACATTTTTATTGGTTTCAGAGAAGGGAGGAAAGGGAGAGAGAGATAGAAACATGAGTAGTAAGATAGAATACATGATCAGCCACCGCCTGCGCGCCTCCACTGCCTGCGCGCCTTCTACTGGGGAGCAGCCCTGCAGCCCAGGCACATGCCCTGTCCAGGAATTGAACTGTGACCTCCTGGTTCATAGGTTGACTCTCAATCCCTGAGTCCACACAGGCCGGGCAATGTCGTCTTTCGTGTTTATTAAAAACAACGGTCCTGTATCAGGGGGACTTGGGCTCCAAGTAAAGGAAGACCCAACTCCGTCTGGCTTCCAGTAAGGAACCCCAGTGTGGGACCCAGCCATGCGTCTAGAGGTAGGCAGGCTCCACCTCTTGGTTGGTTGATTCCTTCTCTGCCCCAGCAGCCACCGTGGGCTTCATCCAGGACCTGGTCCCCTTCTGTTCCCAAGCTGACTTGAGTATCAATAGGGTATCACACCTCTTCCTTTGTGAACATCCAGCAGAAAAAGAGAAAGGAACTCCCCAAGCATGGAATACAGAGCTTCTCTTTTCATCTGGCCCGTACAGAGCTCTTGGCCTGGGTGCCCTCCCCCGCATCACACTTGCCAGGAGACTGCCATAGGCTGGTTGACTTGTTCCTGGAACCCTTAGCTGTTACTAGCATGGGACATGGGGTTGCCATGCACTGGCCCAGTTAGGCTAAGTAGGCCTAACCCCCGGAGTCAGGGCCAGGCAGAGACGTGAGCAGAGCTGGCTTCCAGGAGAAAGGATGGAGTGAGAAACAGATGCTGCTTGACAACCCACAGGGTGTGGGGGACGGGTGTGGATTTGAAAGACCAGCATGGTTTTGATAGCTATAATAATTATTAGATCCTCTTTACTGTCCTCACAATAAATGATACAAATTTGATCTTGAAGGTTAATTACCTTCTTTGTGTATTTCAGAAAATGTCAGCAAACTCAAGAAACTCGAATATTTGAATTTAGCTTTAAACAACATTGAAAAAATTGAAAATCTGGAAGGTAAGAATTTCTTCTTATTTTTGCGAATTAAAATGGGGATTTAAGATTTGATTTAAACAGTATTGCTTAAACAATTTATCCTCCCATTTGGGGAGGCTTCTTGTCAACTTTCTTGATGGTGTCTTTTAGAGCAGTGGTCGGCAAACTATGGCTCTTTGGCCCCTTGAGTCTTTAGTGAAGGCCAGCTTAGGAGTCCCCTAATTAAGTTAATAACCATGGACCTACCTATACAGTTTAAGTTTAAAAATTTGGCTCTCAAAAGAAATTTCAATCATTGTCCTCTTGATATTTGGCTCTGTTGACTAATGAGTGTGCCAACCACTGCTTTAGAGCACAATTCTTATTAACTAATAGCTTTATTGAGGTAAAAATTGACCTATAAAAGCCTGCACAATTTGTATGTACACATGTGTGAGCCCATCACCACAATCAAAGGTAATAGACATACCCATCACCTCTGTATTATCTGATCTCCCCTCAAACTTCTTCTAAATATATTTTGGTGGCGCTAGATGGTCCTCCATGCTTTTAACCCGCATTCCTCATTTAACCCACCTTGCCTTGCTCTGCAGAGAAAGGTTCCCTGTGTTACTCTGCGGCTTCTCTTTTGCAGTTATTATTATTTTTGTCCTAAGTGTCTGTTAGTCTGAAAGGATTTGGTTGACTCGGTGGCCGGCAGGGCTCCTCTGCCCTTGTGAGGCTGGGATCCCAGGTGCAGCCTCTGGCGTGGCCGGCGGGGCTGCTGGGGGCTGTGGGAGCAGGCAGAGGCGGGCACTGCGGCAGACACACCCACTCCCATCCGCCAGGAGCTTACATTAGGAGGATTTTACTCAAGTGATGGTCACATTTGGCCTCTTCACCTCCTGGTGCACAAAATTGACATTCATCCTGCACTTAAGACTTTCATCCTCAAAGCCTAGACTGTCATCACAATCAGACCCACGGCCATCTCAGAGCTGGCACTGAGATGGTCCTTCCTGCATTTTTCTGCAGTAGAAACGGAGTCATTGCTCTCCCAGCTACCACTGTACAGCCCTGTCACCGTGTTCCCCTGAAAGCAAAAGGCATGGCACATTAATCAGGGTCCAAGTTTTGTGAAATAACAGTCTAAGTTTTTCAGAGGACTCGTAAAAACTCTCACTCTCGGTTGGTGTGGCCACGGCTTGTGATTTTTCGGAAAGCATCTGAAAGGACATGGACAATTCTGGTTGCCGCATGGCGTGGCCATCCACCACTGGAGGGCAGCATCGTCACTGTTGTCTTCGGGGCTTCAGGAACCGGGTCCACCTGGGGCCTGTTACCTGGATGCTCTTCCTGGGGCATCCCCCTCCCCGCTCTGATAGGGGTGCCCTGGGCCAGGGCGGTTTGAGAAAGGCTTGTCTGTTGGCAAATAGGCACTTTTTATTTAATTTTAAAGGCGAGAGAGAGAGAGAGAGAGAGAGAGAGAGAGAGAGAGAGAGAGAGAGAGAGAGGGAGAAGGAAGATGCGTATACACATTCAGCCCACCGACTTGAGTAAATCTCAATATAATTTTAAACATAAGTTGCATTTCTGTTTGTTTTGCTGGACTGGAAAGAATAGCTAGCATTCTTCTTTCCCTTTTCCCTGTTGTGGGATTCCTGCGGTAAAGTGCCTTCTTTTCCCGTCCCTCCTCCTCACCCACCCTAACCGGGAAGTGGGGATCCTGACAGCCTGAGCTTTCCCCCTTGGGCAGCCAGTGTGGTTGATTTCAATGACCTTCACACACACACACACACACACACACACACACACACACACACACCCCGGGATCATGGAGCTGGGTCATTGCGGAGCCGGTGAAAGAAGGGAGCGCTAACTCCCATAAGGAGGCATTCTTAAGTCTGGCTCGTTCAGTGGGAACTGTTCTATAAGATGGCCAGTGTGGTTGGGTTTCTAATGTGCGGCTGAGTAGAAGGAAAATTAAGAATCCATCACTCTGCCGAAACCAGTTTGGCTCAGTGGGTAAAGTGTCAGCCTGTGGACTGAAGAGTCCCAGGTTCGATTCCAGTCAAGGGCACATACATTGGTTGTGGGCACATCTTCAGTGGGAGGTATGCAGGGGGCAGCTGATTGATGTTTCTCTCTCGTCAATGTTTCTAATTCTCTATCCCTCTCTCTTTCTCTCTGTAAAAAATCATATTTTTTTTTTTTTTAAAGAATCCATCACTCTGGAAAATACGATGAACATTTGGAGGGTCCTTCATTTGGGTCCTGCAACATTACAGCAAAACCCAAAAATATACGAATTCTTAAACCCGATGGAGTCTTTCGAATGTCAGGCTGCTCTTCCATGAAAGAGAAACACATTGAAATGGCTCCCAGAATCTGTCAGAGTAACTGGGAAAGACCCGGGAGCCTGGGTCTTAAGTTAGATTGCCCCAAATATATATATCTTCCGCACTTCATCAGCACCATCTGACATCTCTTCCCAGCGCAGAACAAACACGCAGACGTGGAGACATAACCTTAATTGTATTTATAGGCACATGCATTTTCGTGTTCATTCTTCATAGAAGTGGCCAAGGCCACAGTTTTATAATTTAATGACCGAATTACCAAGCACATTGACGGGTTTCAAACAATCCTCATTGTGTGGTGCCTGCAGTGTTTTTTAATGATGTCTGCCATTGTGAAAGAGCTGTGCTAATCAGCTTTGTACAATCACCTGTCCTCAGTTGATGTATCCAAATGAAATTCTGGACCCAGGGGAAAACATTTAAAACCCTATATTATGTCTTGTCCGATTGAATGCTGGAAAGTATAATTATAGTCTTATAAGCTTAACAATCTTGTGTAGAATTTTGTCTCTATTGTTGCTAGTTTAATAGAAATAACGGCTTTGTTGTCCTTTTTCATATATACGATTGTCTTTGAAGATGTGAAGTCATGAATTGCCATCACCTGTGTGGTAGAATCTATAATATATGAGTGTTTATTTATTCCTTGTACATGTTTTTGTTTTTAATCCTCACCAAGGATATATTTTAGAGAGAGTGAGAGAGGGAAAAACAAAGAGAAACAGTGAGGTAAGAGAAATACATCGATTGGTTGCCTCCTGTACATGCCCAGACCATGCCCAGGCCGGGAGGAGCCCGCAACCCAGGTACGTGCCCTTGACTGGAACCGAACCTGGAACCTTTCGCTCGTTGGGTCCGCAGGCCAACACTCTATCCACTGAGCCAAACCAGCTAGGACTGTTTTTGTGCATTTTGGATAGTCATCTTTTTACTGATTCATATGTTTACTGTGGTAATTAATTCACAGTTTAAAATCTCAAAGCGCACTCCATACCTTTGTTGGAAAACGTGGGTCTTTATTTGGCACTCAGATCCCTAAGCCCTGCTGCGAGCGGTGACCAGCCTTGACTCCTCTCTGCTCTGGGACGTTTCCAGACAGTGTGCTCCGCCTGTGCTTGTTCTGCCCCCCTCGATGCTCTCATTGGGGGCCTCACCCTGTGACGTTCTGAGGAGGAAGCTGCAGGCTTCGCTCTCACCCCACCCCCAGTTTCTCCATCCCTTCTCCCCTCCCTGCTTCTGTTTTCTCTCACCTGTGGGATATCAAAATGAGACCTGGGCTATGGTGACTGGGGTTTTGAATCATTTCATACCATCTTCCCAACAACCTGGGTACCAATGCCATTCTGGTTCTACACCTGGGAGAGACGAGGCTGGTACCTTCCTGGGGCCACGGTGCCGGGCTGGGAGGGGTGGGATTTGGTCAGCAGTGCCATTCACCAGCGGACCTGCACACACTGAGGCCGCTGCTGCGTCTGTGAACCGTGGCCGGCAGCTCAGGGGAACGGCTCCCACGTTTTAGGACCAACCCGATCTATTTCTTTGCTTTCCTTTCTCCCGCCAGGATGCGAGGGGCTGACAAAACTTGACCTGACGGTAAATTTCATCGGGGAGCTGAGCAGCGTGGAGACCCTGCGAGGCAACGTCCACCTGCGGGAGCTCTTCCTCATGGGCAACCCGTGCGCCGACTTCCAGGGCTACCGGCCGTTCGTGGTGGCCACGCTCCGGCAGCTGAAGGTGCGCTCGCTCCGGGACGCAGAAATCTCGGTGAAAACGCCAACGGGCAACCACTGGTCTCCCGATGCAGAGGATGAAACATCCCAGAAAGTCAAAACCAGCTCATTGGCGTCCTGAGCCTGTAAAAGCGTTTGGCTGAGGTTTCTGGGCTAGCAGAACTGTTTACTAGAACTGAAAAATAGGCTGGTTAATGCAAGGATCTTTTTTTTTTTTTTTTAATGTGTTTTTACTGATTTGAGAGAGAGAGGAAGGGAGATGGAGAGAGAGAGATAGAAACATCAAAGAGAGAGAAACATCGATCAGCTGCCTCCTGCACGCCCCCTACTGGGGATCCACCCTGAAAGCCGGGCATGTACCCTGACCGGGAATCCAACCATGACTACCTAGTTCATAGGTCAACACTCAACCTCTGAGCCAAGCCTGCTAGGCAACTTGAGGATCTTAATCACCATTTATCTCGATGAAGGGGTGATCTACTTGAGAGGAATAGTGTTGATGGTATAAAATCAACATCGACACAGATCAGAGTTTCGGATGTTCCCCATAGCACCCGGTTATTGCTTATTGTGCACTGTTTATTGTCTCTAAGTTTAAAATATTCCATCACAGTCAGCTGGGGCCGATTCAGATCGCGGCTCTGGGCTAATGGCTGTTTTTTATTCCAGTGGCTGGACGGGAGAGAAATAGAGCGTTCAGAACGGATCCAGGCATTGCAGGACTTCCCTGAAGTTGAGCGACAAATCAGAGAGCAGGAGAAAGCCTACTGCCTCAGACGAGCCCAAGACAAGAGCGAGGCTGAGAGGAAGCTTCGAGAAGAGCAGGAGCCCAGAGAGAACGAGAGCCACCCGTATGTAAATCGCTAGAGTTCAGCTTCCCGCTAACTCTCGCTAAAAGCCACCCACCCTGTTCTCTCCCCGAGCAGCCCGCAGCCTCACCTGCGTCCCAGACGGTCCGTGAGAAGCGGGTATTAGTCCTCTGCGGGCTCTGGCTCTGTCTCTGGGAACCAGCCAGTGGGCTCACACATAGAAAGCCAGTGACCGGGTGTGACGGCCTCATTTTCACAGGCACCGTCTGCCCTCCTCTCCCTGACCCTCCCCCAGGGCTAAGGCTCAGTGGGCCCCGAGGTCGTCCGATTATCAGAGCCTCCTGCCAAATATTATAAAAGACAGATTCCTGGGCCTCACCCCAAAGCTGCTGAGTTAGACTCTCTTGCGGGAGCCCAGGAGTCGGTCCTGTTGATAAAGCTCCCGGGTGGCTCCCGTCAGCCGGTGCGTGATCCCTGGAATCTGATTACCGCCATCGTCCTCCGGTGCCAGCCGCCAGCCCAGCGGGCCCGCCCCAGTGCTGGGCCGGCGACTCCTCCAGTGGGGCTCAGATAAGCTCTCCTTCGGACAGGTTCTGTCAAGAAGATACACGAGAAAATGAATGAGGTATGAAAGGAGCAGCGTTAGGGATGAATCCCACACGTCCATCTTTGGTCTCACGTGCTCTGGGTCTCTCTGTCCTTCCTAGCCCACCTTCTGGAGGGAGCAGAGACCAGCTCCAGGTACCAGAACTACAGGAAGGAGAACCCAACGGGAAGAAAGTAGACGACATGGAAGACGACCTGGAGTTCTGGAACAAGCCCTCTCTGTTTACTCCGGAGTCGAGACTGGAAACTCTGAGACATATGGAGAAACAACGACAAGACAAAGAAAAATCAAGGTATTCCATTTCTCCCATCGGACTTCCCTATTGATTTCAGAGAGGAAGAGAGAGAGAAACATCAATGATGAGAATCATTGATCGGCTGCCTCCTGCACGCCCCCTTGTGGGGATCAAGCCTGCAACCTGGGCATGTTGTGCCCTTGACTGGAATCAAACCTGGGACCCTTCAGTCTGCAGGCTGACGCTCTATCCACTGAGCCAAACCAGCTAGGGCCATCATCAATACTTTTCTGTCGCTTTTTACATCAGTAGGTTAAAAAAAAAAAAAGCACATTTTTTTCACAGCTACAGAATAGCTTATGACTATGCCACACTGACCCAATCCCTCCCCCATGTGGCATTGGGGATAGGCCCAGGGTGTGGCCGCGGCAGACACTGCTGTAATTAGGCCGTTTACATAGGTCCTTATGTGCTAGTATTTTTTATTTCTATAAAATGGATTCTATGTGGCATTTTAAAAATTGTCATTTTAACGAGAGCAGAAGCTGCGTACACAAATGGAGAATTGACAGTGATCTGGGTAAATCATGCATAAAATTGACTTATTTAAATATTCATGGGTATTGCACAAAAAGGATTTTCCCCCCATTAAATTACCTGGCAAATTGTCTTGCTCACATTTTCGCTTAACAGACATAGATACAACCAACTGTACAGAAGCCTGGCTTCGAGGTCCATTTCCAGCACAAAATGGACTTCCTAGCAGTCAAATGGGGATGTTTCCACACATATCTGATTCCTTTCTCTTACGCTGTTCCTCAGATCAGTAACTTGTTTATTTTCCTCCTCCCCTCTGCCCCTGTTCCACCCACCCCCAACCTTAAGCGAGAAGAAGAAGAATGTGAAACCACCCAGGATGCTGATCACTGCAGATGGGAGAGCCCTGAACGTGAATGAGCCCAAGTACGTGAGCCCATGTGGAGACGAAGCTGCCCAGTGGGTGGTGTCAGTCACTCCCATGACAGGTTTGCTCTGCAGAGAATACACCTGACCTCCTGACCCCTCTCCACCAGCCCGATGACGCTAACAAGAACCACACGTGTGTGTGCACTTTCCAAAGCAAAACATCCACCATGTTCTCGGGTGCATAATGTTACATTTTTATCTCCTTGGCATCCAGAAAATGATCTTGACATATGGAAATCCTAGTTGTTCATGTCTCCCTCGAAACTTGGGGACATCTACAATTTTATATCTGAAAATTGCCAGTGCCTCGTTCTTGTGTGTATTAATTTTTTAAATTCTGCCATGAACATGCTGCCGGCTGAGAATATTGATATGTCTCCAACCCATCTACTTTATTCCCTGGAACACATCCTCAAAGCATTTGAGAGCTAGGGGAAAATGGATATAAATATCTCCATGAAGTTATTGAGAGAGGAAAAACATTCACACTGGAAATCCTTAAGTGTAATAATATCTGATCTACCCTCTGTAATCCAATTCATCCTCTCCCCTCCCTAGACTCACCCCCATCCCTCCCCAATCCACTGTGCCCTCTGGAGCTTATTCTGTGTCAACAAAACCTGGACATTGATTCCTCTCTTGGCCTCCTATAAGCTCTTCTACTAAGCTGAACAAAGAAGGGGGAAGGAAAGGAAGGATACACACTGTCTCTCTTTAGGAAAATTTCCAGGAAAGCGCCATAGAACACTTTCTTTCCCAGAACTAAGTCACATGACCTCATCGAGCTGCAAGGGAGGCTGGAAAAGGTGGTCTTTATTCTGCAGAGAGCTGTTCCTAGGTAAAATCAGCGGTGCTGTTTCTAGTGAGAAAGGGGAAGCAGATCCTGGGGAATGAACACAGTCTCTGCTATGGGGAACCTCTGAAATTATCTTCCACGTGCTGTGTGAAAGGAGAGTTTGGGTCGGCTGGCTGGAACATCAGGGAATAGCAACTAAGGCAGAGGGGCCAGCACATTAAAAAAAAAAAAAAAGCTCCCGAAATGAGATTTTAAAAATGCATAGGCCAATTGAGTAACTGAAATACAGCTGGACTGTTAGAATTAAGGAGTGGCTGCTACAAGCAGACATACTGCTGACAGCCAGACCTGTGGCTAAGGCTACATTTTCCAAACATTGAGTTGATATTCTTTACTGGGTTATGTATTTTACAGAATAATGCGGTAAGTGAAGTGCTGGAAATAAAATGGACCAAGTAACTCTGACACAGTGATTCTGCACAGCATGGGAGTCACACTGAGGGCTTGGCTTGGCCTCAGTGTAGCTGAGAGACCCAAGAACTTTACGATCCTGCCTCCCCGGGCTTGTGACCTCTTTCCCAGCGGGGTCAGCTTCTCTGAGCCTCTGTTTCCTCCTCTATGAAACAGAGTGGATCATGGGCTGGCTCAGGCGGTGTGGCTCCCTGGTTGAGGGTCAACCTATGAACCAGGAGGTCACAATTCCATTCCGGTCAGGGCACATGCCTGGGTTGCAGCTTGATCCCCAGTAGAAGGTGTGTGGGAGGCAGTCGATCAATGATTCTCTCTCATCATTGATGATTCTATCTCTCCCTCTCCCTTCCTCTCTTTCTAAAATCAATAAAAAATATATGATTTTAGAAAAATAAAATCATGGTCAGTGTCTCAGCATTTCCCAAGGCGATGGGAAAGTCAGCGGTGAAGGGAGAAGAGAAAGGATGGCCGGAGAAAAGGAGACGAGACCGGTTAAAACGGAAGGACTAGCATGCATGTTGGATAATGCAGCATTCAGTTCTCCATGAGTATTTCCGGTGTGTGAGTTTGCTCCTAGCTAACTCCAATGGAAAAGCAAACTTTAACCACCAGATGTCTCTGTCCCTGCACCAATGCTCACTTTTTGTATGTAATTCACTTTGAGATCTGCACATTTAAACAATGTAAACAAATTATGAACACATTACAGGTGTCTGTTGAAATTTTTAAATCAATGTAGACATTGTTCAGCTACCAATGTCTTGAAACATTGTTATTGAAAATTATAACAATTATGAAATTTGGTAATGGGACAAAGCTATCTATAAAGTATTGCTAAAGACGTCATCTTTTTTTTTCTTTTCTTTCTTTCTTTCTTTCTTCTTTTCCCCCCAAAATGGATTATTCCTTAGACTTGACTTCTCTTTGAAAGATGATGAGAAACGCAACCAGATCATCCTGGACCTGGCTGTGTACAGGTAAACACATTTTATTGTGCATTTATTTGATGGCACTTCTAGCTGTTTTCATGCTCAGTTGCAGCCTCTAGAGTTGTGAAACGTTTTGAAATGAAACTTGGTTTGATAAAAATAGTAGGCACTCCCTCCCAGCACTTCTCTCTGCCCCTCCCCATCCCACCCCCACTTTTTTTATTTCTACCTGACAAATTATAAATGTCCTTGCATTTTTAAACATCTATGGTCAAGGCAAGAACTTTGTTTTGATGGTTTGTTTCCCCCTTCTTATGTCTCCAGCACCTAAAACAGGACCGGGTACCTGGTGGGAATTCAATAAGTACAGGAAGGAAGGAAGGAATGGATAATAACGATGGGAGTGTAACATTTGTACACGTGAATTATAATAAAGGTCTTCTCTTTTTCAGGGCTTTTCTTACATGCCCTCTTTTATTCGGTCTCTCATAAACTGGTGAACGAGGGGGGCTTGTTATCCTGGAATTATCCAGGAGGGGGTTACATTTTCAGAGAGTGAGGGAAAGGCATTCATCTGAGCACTGAAAACCCAGGGATGAGAAGCGATGAGGTCGGCATACAACGGGCAGGAGGGTGTTTGAGGCAGAGAAAAGCAGCGCGTACCAAGATCTCGCCGGTCGGGCCAGGTTGATGAGAAAGAAAATGCCACCCATTTATGTGGCAGATACTGAACCTGGAGTTATAGGAAACCTTGACTCTCCCTTTTAGTTCCAGGATTTTATAAGGATGATGTTTTATAAACACTATGTACTAGGCAACAGGCATGCATCTTCATAGCTATCTCAGGGAATAGGCACTATGTTTATCTTGATTTTCCAGATGAGGAGGCTGAGGCTTAGAGAGGTAAAGGAACGTGGTCCAAGGTACTGAAGCAGGAAATCCTCCCTCACAGGTGTGTGTGACTGAAGCCCATGCCTGCAACCCTGAGGCTCCCCGCTGCCTGAATGTGTCTGATTTTTGAATCACCACTGGATTTTCTACTATTCACAACCTCTGTTTTAAAATATGTAAGCAGCCCGGCCGGCGTAGCCCAGTGGTTGAGTGTTAACCTACAAACCAGAAGGTTCTGATTCCCAGTTAGGACACATGTGGGCTTGATCCCCAGTAGGGGGTATGCAGGAGGCAGCAGATCAATGATTCTCATCATTGATATTTCTCTCCCTTCCTCTCTGAAAAAAAAGTACATGTACACTGAGTGACCAGATTATTATGATCTCTGAATGCATAATAATCTGGCCACTCAGAATGTGTGTGTGTGTGTGTGTGTGTGTGTGTGTGTGTGTGTGCATGCTGGTCGAACTCCTGGTTGAGGGGATACTTTGCATATTAGCCTTTTATTATATAAGATATACACGGAGTGGCCAGATTATTGTGTGTCCAGAGATCATAATAATCTGACCACTCAGTGTATATTTAGAAACAATGTTTAAATATAGTGTTTGGCTAAAGGAGAGAGGTAAAATCTGCATTTTTCATTTGCTCAGAAGTCAAGGAGAATAATTGCCACCCGATCCCGGGGTCACTGCCACAGACTTTGCTCACTCAGCAGGCCGCGCCTTCCAAGGAAGCAGAGCCCATGGGGAGATGCTATCGGGCAGCTGCAGGGCAAGGCCAGGGGCACAGAGCAGCTAAGGAAGTGGGGCCAGGGTTGCAGGCCTCAAGCAGAGTGCAGTCAGCATTCCTGGCTATTCATGTCAGTCTTAGAGGCTTAGGATAAAATATTCATGAAAGACCATGGCAAGCTGGGTTTTGCAAGCCTCTGACGTTTCAGACCTCTGATATTTTTGGGTTAGGGGCAGTCAATGCCAAGTGTACTCGTGGGTCTAGAAATGAAATTGCTGATACATTGCATTTCCTTTGGCCTGAGGATTAACTCAAAGCTAAATTTTTAAGGCCTATTTAGCATGGACATTTTAAACTCTCTCTGTGGGAAGTTCTGGAGAAGGCCGCACACAAATGAAAGAGACTAGAAAAATATTAATTTGGGAATATTGGGGGCCAGGCAGGAGCCCACTTCTAGGGGCAGGACTATACCCCACTCTGGCTTTGCTATCCCTTTATTAAGGTTATGGGATACACCCATAGCCTTTAGGCAGGAAATTCCAATAAAAGACCACCAGCAAGGATTTACATAAGACTAATAGGTGGAGGCTGCTTCAGTTACCAATGTCTCAACTAAACCATGAGCGATTAGCTCCAACCTTTCAGAGCAATTAAGATTGACCAACCACTGAAACTGATTTGACTCAGCGGATAGAGGAATGGCCTGCGGACTCAAAGGTCCCAGGTTTGATTCCGGTCAAGGCCATGTACCTTGGTTGTGGGCACATCCCCAGTGGGTGGTGTTCAGGAGGCAGCTGATGGATGTTTCTCTCTAAATGATGTTTCTAACTCTCTATCCCTCTCTCTTCCTCTGTAAAAAAAAAAATCAATAAAATATATATTTTTAAAAAAATTGACCAGCCTTCCAGATTCCCTGTCCACATCTTTCTATTAGTGGAACAATGATTGGTTTCCAGCATCTCTCCATTTAAAGGGTCCCCTAAGTGTGGGTTTGCATTTGTAAATTTGTTTGCAAACTTAATGTTCTTGGAAACTCACAAAACTGAGTGTGTTTCATGTGTTGAATTTTCAAGGTACATGGATACCTCTCTGATCAATGTTGACGTGCAGCCAACTTACGTGCGAGTCACCGTCAAGGGAAAGGTAAGGATGCCCTATGGGCTGGCTTCGTCTTCAAAGCCAAGCCTTGGACTAAGCTAGTTGCATGAACATTCTTTTAAAAGTAATATTAAAATGGAAAAAGAGAAAGCCAATCAGAGAGCTGTTTCTTAGGCACGTGATTCTGCCAGAGCAGGGGTAATCAGCAGGAATGCTTGCTGGCCACTGTGTGGCTGGATAAATTAATATGTTTATCCTGTGTCTGTTGCGTGGGTACTTTGTCCAAGGCGGACTTTTATATATGTCATAGGCTATGGCTTGAAATCATATTTAAATAGTATGCCCATTTTAAATTTAAATTGCCAATGCTTTCCATTCATAGTAAATGTAGTGTCATCATTTTTGAAAGAGCAGTCTGTGCTAATTCTGATCATTCATATGAGGTCGCTTGAGGACTTTAAAATGGAAACACTCTCATGTCTTATGACAGTGATTTTTATCCCCAAATTCTGTTATCGGCCACATTAACAAAAAATGGACCAACAAGTGTTACATTTGATTTTGATGGATGGTTATTCTTTAGACCAGTGTTTCCCAAAGTGTGGTACTCATATCCCCAGGGATACGGGAAGAATTTAGTGGGGGTACATGTTGCACCAGAGTTTGGTGGGGATAGGCACTGCACCGTGCTTAGCTGCTCCTAATTCTACATTCTCATGAGTATGAGGGGTACTCAGTGTTACAAAAATTATAGAAGGGGTACACGTATGTCAAAAGTTTGGGAAACACTGCTTTAGACGGACTATTCATTAAAATAGGTAAAAAAGATCATGCATGTCAAGCATAGCCCATGCATTAGTGTTTTTCTAGTAAATCTAAGCTCATCTTTAGAAATTGAATGTTGAGTCTTAAACTTGTAACGAAAGTACCTCCTCCAGCAACTTCTCTCTCACGTCAGATGCACTTGCTCCCTGACACTCGGTATTCCCTTTCAGCCCTTTCAGCTCGTCCTTCCGGCAGAGGTCAAACCTGACAGCAGCTCTGCTAAAAGGTCTCAGACGACAGGGCACCTGGTGGTCTGCATGCCCAAGGTAGGGGACGGCATTGGGGTCCACTTTACGTCTGGGTACGTTGGTTCCCACAGATACTGTCCCAGCAGGGCTGATGAGGACTTCTGATCCAGGTTCCTCTGGTTGAGAAAGCCCAAAAGTTTACTCCCACCAGATCAGGCTGGAGAACGAAGACCTGGGAGAAGAGAGAGCCAGGGCCGGGGCCAGGGCCCAGGGTGACTGGTCCTGCCAGGAGTTCTTGTCTCCGAGGCAGTCGGCCCTGCCTCTGCAGACCAGAGCATGGGTGGGAGTTGGCCTTTGTCAATCACATGGCTCTTGGATAAGGTGACCAGGCGTCCCGCTTTTGGCGGGACAGTCCCTATTTTTAACAATTTGTGCCTCGTCTCTCAGCGTTTTAAAGAAGTCCCGATTTTTTTGGGAAAATCGGGACTTTTTTTAAAATGCCTCAGGACAAATTATTAAAAATTGGGATGTCTGGTCACCTTACTGGAACATGTGTGTTACCTGGTGGTCAGCACTTCTCTTACCTGTAACCATGAGAGGAGACGCTGTCAGCCTTGGTATGTGTTTGGATTCCAAACATTGAGCTTACCAGGTTTGTGATTTTGGGCAAATTATGAATCTCTCTAGGCCACTCTGTCCTAATGAATGCTTAAGAAAGACGATACACACAGCATTCATGTATAGTGAGCACTCCATAAATATGGCTAGTGTTATTTTTCATATCATGTTTATGATAGAGACAAGATATTATTTTAACTAAAACTCTTTTTTGCCTTCTCTTTGCGGGGAGAGGCGGCATAGATATGCTTTTGCTATGAATCAGAGAAAGAGACAAAGAGATCTCTCTGGTCACTGCGGAATAGCAGGTCCTTTGATTGGTTAGGCCGGGATTGAGTCTGTAGTTCAATCCCGGACAAGGGAACCCATCTCTGGCCAAAGAGATGGCGGTGCTTTGTTGAGTGTCCATTGTTTCCTGTTTGGTTACTGTCCTCTCATGCCTTGAGCTCGGGGTGGGTCAGCTTTGCCCGAGTCACCTGGGTCAAAAGGGAGGAATAGATGAGCAGTTACCATGGGATTTGGCTTGTGAAGAGGGGATGGAGACGGGCCGGGCATGACTGCTGCAGCGAGTCTGCCCTTGACTGACCAGGGAGGGTTCGATAATGATCTAATAAGCCTTCATAGCAGCCAGTTTTGCCGCAGATTGATTATGGGTAATCTATGTATTTTCACTCTGAAGCAATAAAACAGCAAGTACAATTTGTTGTCAAGGAAAAAAATAAACACAACTGGAAGAATCGAATTGTCCTCGGTGACTGCAATGAATTAAGGAAATGTGTGCTAATTAGAGTATCCTATAGGGAAATGGAAGAGATAACTTAAGGACTTTGATGTAGGCATTTGTATAACACTGTGATCAGCAGGGGTTTTGTGTGTGTGTGTGTGTGTGTGTGTGTGTGTGTGTGTATGGAAACTTCCATTCTTACTAAAAAGCCAAAGATTAAACGGCAGCTGCTACTTCCTAAAAGATCGTGGTTTGTGTGCTGTTGGGGGTGGGGGAGAGGGGGGAGGGCAGGTAGCTGATCCAAAGCCTTTGCTGTTGCTAATGCATCTTTCAAATAAACACAGCATCTTACTTCCATGATCCTTTCGGGTTTTAGATCTGTAAGTTTTTCATCTTCAATACCGCTGAAGACCATAAAAGTTACATATCCAATAATGCATGTTTTCCATTTATTACTCTTACTTTATGTCTCTCAGAAGTTTTTTTGTAGTGTTTTTTTTTTCTTTTCTTTTTTTTTTTTTTTTTCTCCAGAGCTGCTACATATTTGCAGGTACCATACATACAGTGGGAATTTTGAGTGGGAATTCCCGAATTACATTTTCCTAGAGTTTGTGCTTGGCCTCCCGTATATTCTCTTAAGTGTGAGGTCAGACTGAGTTATCCGCCTGTAAACAGTCTCCCCCCGTCAGCGGCCGGGGAGCGAGGGACACCTGGTCTCATCCCAGCCTAGCCTAACCGGACTTCACTGAACATTGGTGTTCACCGAGGGGCTTGCATCAGTCATTACATTAAACTCCCATCTGGCCCTCAGCGGACAAGTTTCAGGGTCACTCCAGGAAGATGCTCCGTATTGTCCTTTGGGGGTTCTTGCAGAACAATTAACCGAGATTAAGGGAGTTGCCAGGCGACCAGAACAGCAGAATGTATTTACAGCTCTGGTGGGTGAACATACTGCTCAGTTCTGCCCCAGTGCGCACGGAGGTGAAGGTCACTGTGAAGGTCACAGTTACAGGCCAGGATTCTAAAAAACCTGTCCCATCTGCCCTTTTCCCTGTCAGCTGGACATCCGTTTCCCAGGGCTTTTTGCTCAGAGACCCTTGCCTGTGCCGTCTTGAACTCACCTCTGGTCTCCGGGTGATGGTGTCAGATGGGTCTGCAGTGAGGGCTGCTGGATCATCCTGCTCCATTCATACGTCCACTCTTTTCTAGAACATTCCTCCTCATTCCTAAAACTTCCAGAAGCAGCAGGCTAATGTCCACACACTTCATCCCTCTTGTCTTCCCCTGCTGGGCCTTCCTTCCCGACCCCACAAATGGGCTGTCTGTGATCCCCCCTCCCCCCAGGTGTGTGTGGGCTCCTGTTTCCGCCGGCCTTGGAGAGACCACTGTCCCCTCTGACAGGTCCCCGTCCTCCCGGCTGCTCCGCGCTTTACAGCAGGAAACATGCTGAGCCATCTCTCTTCCTGACAACAGAGCCCAATAAAAACCCCCCTCCATTTATCTCCCTGACCTGCTTTACAGCAAAGCTCTGAGCACAGACATTGTGTTTGCTGGCTCCTCTCCTGGCCGGGCCTCTGGGAGTTGGCCGACCTGGTCACTGAAATCTGGGACCCCTTCTCTCCTCTGTGTACATTCATTCCTGCGAAATCTCTTCTAATCTAAGGATTTTTAAATAACACCTGTAGGTCTCCATCATCTGCCAGTTGCCAACTAGAGAATCCGGAATAGCAAACACAATGAGGAAAATTCAGGGAAACAGACTACACGTTTTTAACACAACTCAGGAATATCAGTGCCTGCTAAGATAGTGAGCAGTTGCCGCCCACTGATCCAGCAGGAATGGCCCAGAGAACAAACCACGTCTGTCGGGATGAGAAGAAAAGAGTCACATTTCAGAGGCTGCCATGGACAGGGGATCTAGAAACCTCCCCCACCTGGCAGTATGGCTGAAGGATCATGACCTGGGCAGGAGGCCAATGAGAGGACACCCGAAGGTCTTGCAGCCTGTCTACGTGGTTCCCAAACTGGGCCTTGACTTGAATGAAGGTAGTCCTAGGTGAAAACCACCCACCCACCCACACAGGCCTCACAAACCCAGGGAGGAAGTTAACGTTGCCATGGACTCTAGATAGATAGATAGATAGATAGATAGATAGATAGATAGATAGATAATAAGTAGATAGATAATAGATAGATAGACAAATAAACAGAAAGGTAATTGTTGTTCTTTCCAAATAGTCCACAGCACACAGAGTTAAGCTAGGCGCTCCCTAGATGTGAGTGGGAGCCAGGAGAGACGAGGTCAGGGTTTGGGAGTCTGGTTATACCAGGCTGTTCTCACGGTTGCTGCAGTGTGACACTGTGAGACACAGACTGTAACCCACTGCTTTAGTGGGAGGTCTCCCAGAATCGGAACCTAATGCAGAGCCATGAGTGCAGCAGTCTATTTGGTAAGTGAGGGGCTGCTGGTCTGGAAGCAGCCCCTAGGCAGTGTCCTACTGAGCCAGCAGCTCTAGGATGCAAATCTCACACCTCGGGATCCCTCTACCCAAGGGGCAATGGGCTGGGATGGGGCACTCCAGCCCCAGGCTCTGTGGCTGAAGGCTGCTCCTGCTGGGGAGGGGTGGTATAGACCTCCCAGCACTTCAGCCCTATTGCAGGCATGGACCAAGCAGGGTGGTCATGTGAATGGAGGATATTTCCAACAGAGACTCTCCAGTGAGACTCTAAAAGGATGTTTTCTCTCCTTTTTAAACATCATTATCACCCCTGATGTTTGTCCTAACTTCCTCAGATATTTTCCGTTTTAGGCTGTGTTGTGGGTGTCAAATGAGATTGCACCTTACAAGCATGAAAGAATTTCGAAGGACCTATTGCTAGTTAGACATGTTCTACTTTTACTTCAAAGTCTTGTAACTGTCAATATTGATTTCACATAGGAAGATACTGATTGCACCTTTTAAAAATTTCCTCTGACAACTTGGGTAACTTTGGACCCTTAAAATGCATCCATATTCACGTGTAATATTTTAAAAGGCATATCGAAGCGTAACACCCCCCTCAACGTGTGCTGTGTTTCTGTTGCAGGTGGGAGAAGTCATCACAGGGGCCCCGAGAACATCCACATCCACGTCCACGTCCACGTCCACGCAGAGCACCTCGTCCCGCAGCAGGGAGCACACGGGCAACAGGTACCGCCCCCGGGGCTGTCTTTGGCCTCATCATGTCATCATCTCATTCTCTTCACTTTCCCTGGAGATACAGTATTTAAGTTTCAAAGTGAGTCATACCATGAGGTTAGTTCCCAAAACTTAGACTCTCAATGGGCCAGGTCCTGGGTCCCCGACAACATATGGGTGTAGAACGTGCGGACGTCTTGTCGCTGTGCGGTGCTGGGACACTGCCTGCCTGGGATGGCCCACGGGTCACCTCCTAGAGCCCAACCTGTCAGGCTGCCGGGGCCAGGGGCCCCTTCGTGTCTCCTGCTGTCGCCCTCCTGGTCAGAGGTCATCGTCTGGCCATGGCTTAAGCTTTGTCCCACCGGGACCTTTACCCTCTCGAGAACGACCACCCCTTGGTATTTCCCGGTGTTAGCAAGCCTCTCTGCTCCCTCACTGAAGATTCTGCCTCTGCCCCCTGGGGATCCCCACAAAGCCCCCGCCCGACACTCCAGGCAGGGATGCCCCTTACAGTATGTCGGACAAATCTCTCATTATCTCCCAATTCCTCCTCAGAATGATCATCCCAATTCTTTCAACTTTCCTTCTGCTTGCCATGGTTCCAGATTCCTGCCGTCCAGATGGCAGTGTCTATTTTGAACCCATGCACGCTGTCTTGGTGACCCCAATGTCTGAGCTGGGATTGTCATCCTAAAAACACCTGAGCAGGGGCTGTATTGATCTCTCACATCGGACAAGCAGCCAGGCGTGCGTGCGTCCACAGACAGCTGTCGGAGGTCGGCAGGGGCTTCTAACACGGGCTGGTTCGAGCAGCTACGGACTTCAGTTCCTGCTGGGAGGTGTGGAGCTGCGGCTAACCTTGGAAACCCACTCACGTGGGTCCCAGCCGTGATTTCCATCTCAGACACATGTGTGACTGACGGAGACTCACGGGCACTGTGACTGTCATGAATATTCACGGTCATAACTAACCCCCAGCAGCATCAGCCATGTAAAAGATCAGCACCTCCTTTGGGAGGGAGCTGGTTTTCACCCCCAGGAAACCCGTCATCATGAGGTCACACTCGGTGACCAGAGGGGTCTTTACGCCAGTCTTCCCAGTAGCACCTCGCCACCATATCTGGTGTGTGGTGCTCCTGAGCCACCAACAAGCTTCATTCCCCAGGTTGCCCCGGGCCTGGCCCGTCCCAGAGGAACTCGGCCAGGAAGCCGTGGCAGGTGCTCTGGGGTAGACCGTAAGGCACTGCCAGTTTGGAACCCTCTGACTCTACATTCCAAGTTGAGGGTTTAACCACCAGCTGCCATGGAAACCACCAGGTCTTATGGGAATGCCAGTGTGTGGTAACAACTCAGCTCTCCTCTGTCCCGCCGGGCTGCCCTCCTCACAGCCGGGAGGTGAGCTCACTTATTCCCTCCTACACGAGAAGCCCTCCAAGACCCCACGCTCGCCCTTGCCCTGTAAGACTGCCCACCTGGCATGCTCAGGGCCTGGCCTCTGTCCCAGGACTCCATGGGCTCAGCGTGACCAAAGCACAGCCTCGGGGGCCCTGAGAGCAGATGCCCTCAGGCAAAGTGGCTTCAGGATCTGCTTCCCCCTCTGCGCTCCTGCATTCACCGAGCTCCGATCTCTGTGGTTCCTTGTTATCCGGTCAGGTTCTTCATGACCTCCAGAAGATCTTCAGCTGGAGATGGGAGTTTTTGGGCCAAGTATGCCAGCCCACGTGTCACGATTCTTACACTCTTTAATACCCTGTTTTCCCGAAAATAAGACAGTGTCTTATATTAATTTTTTTCTCCCAAAGTTGCACTAGGTCTTATTTTCAGGGGATGTCTTATCTTTCCATGCGCTAGGTCTTATTTTCGGAGGATGTCTTCTTTTCGGGGAAACACGGTAGGAGGAAGCCATCTTTGATGGGTTTTACACCTAGTAGTACTTTTTTTTTTTTTTTTTTTGCTTCCTTCTTTGGCAGTGAGTATATTAATTTTGTCTTCCAGTTATTCTTACTAGACTTAGCGGTTCTGCTTCTGGCAGCCAGGTGGTGGTAAGACCACGCTGGGCACCTGGGCTCAGGCCTCAGGCTCTGAGGGGAAGCAGCAGAGAGCAGCCGCCTCCTCTCTCTGTGGGGACTAGTGTGACCCTGCGCCCCAGGCCTGCCTGTTCCCCGTCCCTTACCCAGAGTGTCATGAATACTTAAAAAGTCCCGCCTGCCAGTTAGCCTGGGCCTCTGAGGTGGGAGGTGGCAGATAACCCGTCCTGGCTGAGCTCACTCTGTTACTGAGACCAGAAGTTGTGGCCCAGGAGACACTGGGGCAGCGAGAGAGGCTGCTTTTCCACAAAGTCAAGGACAATGCAATTATAATAGACAATTTGGATGTTAACTTAATTAAGCCACTGATATCATAGCCTTTAGTGACTTTAAATATTTTTTAAAGATTTTCTTTTAGAGAGAGAGACAGATGTAAGAGCAAAACATGGATTGGCTGCCTTCTGCGTGCCCCTTATCGGGGATCGAGCCTATAACCAGGACAAGGGCCCTGATCGGGCATCGAACTGGCAACCTTTCAGTGCATGGATGATGCTCAATCAACTGAGCCACATCAGCCAGTGCTAATAATGACTTTTATGTAGGTCCTTGAAAACTCTAACTTCCTGCATAGTTTATAGGGTACAATCAAGGTCTTACTACACTGTCAGAAAGGATTTACATAAGACTAAAAGGTAGAAGTTGCTTCAGCTCTCTTTGTCTCAACTAGATAGTGGGTTCTTGGCCCTGACCTTTCAGAGTTTCAAGGTTGACCAGCCTTCCGGATTCTTTGTCCACCTTTCTGCTAATGAAGATGATGGGCGGCTTCCGACAAGGCCGGATGATTTTATGGGCATTATACAGCCCTGGGGCCAGACGTTCCCAACTCCTGATCTAGAGTTTCACCAACTGTTACAGTGGGAATCCCTGGCCAGTGGGGCTTCTTTCCTGTTGCTGCTGGGTGTGGGCAGTAGGAGCAGGTTCTCATGGGAAAGGAACATGGTAGGCGGAGCTTGGCTAATCACCTGAACCTGTAGTGTAAAGGCTCCTGCTGAACCACCACAGGTTGGGTTGTCTGACCCAGCAGGTCCATGAACCTTAGTAGCAACACTCAGGAGTAAGACCCGCCTGGAGTGATCCCACTGCGATCCTGGCTGTGGTAAACAGACTTGGACTTAGGTAAGCAGACCGCTCCACAGCTGCCTGGGCATTAGCACAGCCCGGTAGCACTTGCTAACACTCCATCGCTCCAAAGTCACACTCGTGCTTCCACAAGGCTCCGAGCCACAGAAAACCAGGCACAGCCTCTTATGGGTGTTCCTATGCTGTCAGGGTATTAATAGTACTTTCCCACGTTAGTTGCAGAAACGAATGCTCGAGTTGAATCTGTTTGTGATTGAATTTTAAATGATGTTCCCATTTCCTTTGGCCTTTTTGGTTGCTCTAGAAGCAGACAAACCGAGAAACTAGAGGTGGATCCCAGCAAGCACTCGTTCCCCGACGTGGCTAACATAGTCGGAGGGAAAACTCCCACACCCAGAAGAGTCCGACCTGAACCCAAAGTCGTGCCACGTGAGGAAGATCCAGGCTTTGAAGATGACCCGGAAGTGCCCCCGCTGATCTGACACGTCAGGCTGCATCGCCTGGGACCCCTCCCAGGACCCAGCTTTGCTCAGCGCAGAGGGTGTATGCACCTCGCTTATGGGACACACACACAGTTATTTATCAGTGTCACCACCCCCATGTCACAGCTCCCACTTGCTACAGCAATATTCTTAAACTACTTTAAAATGAAAAGTGTACCTTAAATATGCTATAATCCACTATTTGTCTAGAATAAAGTGCTAGTGAAAACGAATGTTCAGTAAATCATAGAACTAACCTAATGCAAATAGTCCTTAAATGACAAAAATACATGGTGTTATGGACCGAATGTTTGTGCTCCTCCACCCTCCCCCCATTCCCGTGTGGAAGCTGTAATCCCACTGAGGTGGTGTTTGGAGGTGGTTAGGTCAGATGAGGTCATGAGGATGGGCCCCATGGAGGGATTAGTGTCCTTAGAAAAGAGGAACCACAGCTTGCTTGCTCCTCCCCGCCCACCCCCCTCCTCCTCTCCACTACGTGAGGACACTGAGAAGACAGCTGTCTGCACGCCAGGAAGGACTTCACAGAAACCGCACCAGCTGCACCTTGAACTCAGGTGTCCATCCTCCAGAACTGTGAGAAACTATCTCTGTTGTTCAAGCACCACCCAGTCCGTAATATTTTGTTACAACAACCTAAGCATCTGCTATGTCAACATGCCCCGCGGCCCTCCCCTTCCCCCCCGGAATATGAAAGCCTCCTTTGCCGGTTGCCTAAGGGACAAATCTGGGCCCTAACCTGTTGTGAAGTCATGGCTTCCACCACTGCCCCCTGGGCACCAAGCTGCCCCCCCACCGGAAGTCGCCACCCTTCCTGCCAGTGCACACGGCCCTTGGAGGGTGGGGCTGGTGCTCCCAGGGCCTGGTGAGCCTCTCAGGGTGACGGGAGCAGCGTGTGCTGCCAAGGCCCAGGGCCTGGGTGAGGGCCCTGCTGGAGGGAGACCGTGAAATTATGCCCGCCTCCCCCTAAGCTCAATACATCAGGGTTATTTTTAAAAGATATATTTTTATTGATTTCAGAGAGGAAGAGAGAAGGAGAGAGAGAAACATCAACAATGAGAGAGAATCACTGATGGGTTGCTTCCTGTATGCCCCCCGCTGGGGATGGAGCCCACACCCCAGGCATGTGCCCTGACCTGGAATCCAACCGTCACCTCTGGTTCATAGGTGGGCGCTGAGCCATGCCGGCCGGGCACTACAAGGTTATTTTTAGGGCTGGATCACCTCGCCTGGGCCTTCCTAAAGGGGAGCCCCATCCGTCTGGGCCCGCTTTCCCGAGGCAGTTTGCACAGTGAGCCAGACAGAAGGTGCAGTGTCGTTGGCTCGGGCTCGGGCCCGACTCGAATTTCCCTGCCCGAGCCCATCTGCTGACCAAGAAGGGACAGCTTGTGTCCCAGACACTCCTGGGGGGCTCCCCGCGTGACAGGGCTCCTCCACCCAGCCTGCCCGGCCCTCGGGGCACACCCTCTCCTCCAGGCGCCTGTCTGATCTCTGCCAGGGCCCTGACCGCACAGCGCCTGCGGATGGCACCTGCTGAGGGCACCTGCCGCTTTACCTGGAGGCCTCACGGCTGTGGGGGATGCCCTTCAGCAGGGGAAGCCCTGGGTGTGTGGCGGCTGGTAGCACTGGACTAGAAGTGACAGTGCCTTCTCCCAGACCATGGCCACCTCCCAACATGTAGTTGACAATGAACGCAGTGATGGAGCCACCTGCCGCCATGGCCGGCCCTCCGCCTGCAGAAAGTGCAAGCTGGCTGTCCTGGCTGTCCGGGAAGGTGTGAGGAATTCCCTCCCGGGCTCAGTTGGCTCAGCTGGCCTTGCCCCAGTGGGAGAAGCAATGGACCTGCCCCCGCCTCATGGCTGCCATCCGAGGGGCGTTACATTCTAGGACTTGAGAGATGACCTAGGTACTCACACTCGTTCCATAACGCCTTTTCCAGGCCTCTCTCCTCGTGTCCTGTCTCATTAACTCTCTTTCCAATGCGATACTGTGATCTATAGGACACCATACTGACTCATAAGGAATTCCATACGTGTACATCCTCAAATGACATGTGCAGAATCCCAAACTCCCTCCTGGTGTGAAAACATCCGCAGTGACTCTAGCTTCTCACTGTCATGTCTCTTTAAGTCAACCCCTTACTCTTTCTCCCCCCCTCCTCCCCCCAGTTAACCAGCCAGGTTGCTAAGCTGGTGTTAACACCACGTGCAGTGGTGTTAAAGTGTCCCCAAATTGATAGCGCCTCCGCAGCTCCGAGCAGTGTGTGAAATCCTCTTCCCAAGTGCTACCCGGGTGCAGTTAGCACCCCCTCCACGCTGGCTTCCGACCGGTGGGGGCTCAGCACAAGAGTCAGCAGGCCTGCATCAGCTGCCCGCATCCTGTGCTCAGAGAAGGCGGGGCCTTCGTGGCCACGGGGTCCTTCCCACCCTCTGCTCCCCTGGCTGCACTCTCCCCTGCGCGTTCAGCTCTGGCACTCTGGGCCCCCTGGGGCTGCTCTGTACAGGGCTGGCCCTTACGTAGAGCACATTGCTTCTCCAGGCAATGGGCAGACCACTTGTGAGTTGTATCCATGGGACAGGGTCGGGGCAACTCTGGCACCAAGGATACCACCCCTGCCTTCAGTGCCGGGTCTAAGCTCCCCCAAGCTCCACACCAGGTGGATGAGGAGCGGGGTGAGGGGTGTCAGCAAAAGGAAGCTCAGTGGGAGGCTCTTAGTGGAGTTTTCTCCAGGTGCATCTTTAGGCTGGTTTGGCTCAGTGGATAGAAGGTCCCGGATTCGATTCCGGTCAGGACACATACCCAGGTTGCAGGCTTGATCCCCAGTAGGAGGTGTGTGCAGGAGGCAGCCGATCAATGATTCTCATCATTGATGTTTCTATCTCCCTCTCCCTCTCTCTCTTCCTTCCTCTCAGAAATCCATAAAAATGTATTTAAAAAAAAAAAAAAAAGGAGAATTGGGAATTAAGGTGCTACCCCAGCAGATAAGGCTTTGGAACTCCTGGGATGGTGAGGTAAGTTTTAAGGATTAGGTAATGCATGCATAAAGTACTTAGAAAACTGTGAAATGCTGCCCGGAAATCATTTCTAATTGTCATCAAAACATAATGTTATGGACGTGCAGACAAAGAAAATCCACCAGGAGAGATTGGGAAAGGCTGCATGGGAATAGCAGCATCTGTAAGATCATTAGAATCTGGACCCGTGGAAACGGCAGAGCAGGCCTCCTGGGAGCAGGGACAGCAAAGGTCTGGAGAGAGTCCAGGAAGGGGCACGTTCCAGGAGGGCGCCTCTCGGGCAGCCTGTGGAGGAGGCTCTGTGGAAACCGCCTCCCCGCAGGAGGAGCTGCAGAGCTGGTTGGGAGATAAAAGGCCATCGCAGAAGCCAAGGTGTCCAGATGCCATGGACACAGCCCAGCCCCAGCCCCCAGCCACGCGGGCAGACCGCTGAGCTCATCCGCCGCCCGAGAGCTCATTACACAGGCTGGCACGTGCGTGCCTCTGCCACTCATCCGCCCAGACAGAACCGCGGAGATGAGATCATCCCCATCTGAAAAAAAATTAAAAATTAAAAAAAATCACCACTTAACCAGCAGAAAGGCTCGGCCACCTGCTGTCAGGGAAGCTGCCGCCCTGGAAAAAAGAAAGAGAGAGAAGCCCCCAAATTTAGTGTTGAATCCCTCCCAAGAACTGTCAATATTTTTGGAAGCCCCCAGAGAACAAATGCTTCCTCGAGCCTGGCGAAATCTGCTGAAAAGAGACCAGCTCCAGGCTGATGGCTGGTGGCCACTCAGTGCCGTGCACGGTGGGTGGCACCTAAGACAGGCGGTCGGCAGCCTGGGAGGAGAATAATACTGCTGAGAACACGTGCAATTTTAAAAAAATACATATTTAATTGATGTTTTACAGAGAGGAAGAGAGAGGGATAGAGGGTTAGAAACATTGATGAGAGAGAAACATCAATCAGCTGCCTCTTGCACACCCCCTACTGGGGATGTGCCTGCAACCAAGGTACATGCCCTTTGACGGGAATTGAACCTGGGACCTTTCAGTCCGCAGGCCGACGCTCTAGCCACTGAGCCAAACCGGTTTCGGCAACACGTGCAATTTTGTTTTCCCCAAGAAAGCTCAGAGCAGGATGCCTATCGCAGGCCTGTGTTCATATGTGTAACCCGAGTGTTCCTAGTGTTACACCAGCCTGCTCAACAAAGCAGGACCTTACCACGCTGCCTCGCCCAGTCTTTCATGTATGGGCGTCTCCCGGGTGAGCCAATCTCGATGGCCATTGTATGAATCAGAGGGAAGGCCCTCTCCAGCGAGGCTAACGAAGAGGGCCTGTGAAGAGGACTATACTCAGGGGTGTGGGTGAGCGATGGAGGAGTCCCCAGGACAAGTGATCGTGAGGTTGTCACCTTTGCCCGTGGTCACCAGCTGCCCCACCACCAATGTGTATTTGTTGTTTATCCCATGTGACTTTGGTAAGGAATATGGGACTGAAAAGCATTGGGCGGCTGGAGGAAGTCAGGGGGAGTTGGGAAGATAGACCACCACTGTGGAAGGCAAGTTTCAGTAGACTGTGGAGTTTTGTAGAGATACTGACGAGAGGGAGTAGACCCAGGCAGAGAAAGGCACCCATCACTTCTTTCATTTTAGACCAAGACATCTCCTGTCCCCGCCCTCCTCCCCCCTCCCCCCTTTCCCCTCCCCTCTCCGCTACTATCTACAGGCTCAGAATTTTGTGTCATCACCCCTTTTAGGACAAATTAAGCATTGTGACAATTTTGTTGTGACAATTTTGTGAGCTCTGCTCTCCTCTCTCTCTCGTGTTCCCTAACATGTCTGTTGAAATGACTAACTGTCTGACCTAGATGTTGGAATCATCCAGGAGGTGGGCATTGACTGACTTATTCTTGTATTCCTGGTGCTTTGACTGTGCCAGGTGAAAAGAATTTGTCAGTCAATATGTCTGTTGAATGACTGAATGAA